AGAATTAATCTTGCAAGAATTTCTGCAAGTTCCAGACCACAAATGAAAGCAAACTGTCATTTTTCAGAGGATGTGTCTAAAATTTGGCGCCCCGTGAGGTGCTTCTTTCCAGAGATGAGTAATGTAACAGAAAAGTGTGATTTTAATTAAATTCAGCAGCTTTTGGTATGCTCTGATGGGTCTTGTTCTGCACAAGGAGAATTTATTCTACTCTGCTTTATATAAATGGATTTTGGGGGCATTGACAGGGTGGTTTTACCTCACAGCACTTGACCAAAATCATTGCTTGGTGCTGCTCCTGTTTCACAGATGGGAACCACATCTTGGAGAGCAGCTCCAGGTCACCTCTTTGCTGGTGCCTGGTCAGCTCACAGCCACCTCCTGGTAAATTAATGCTGCTTTAATCTGCCTAATTGCATGAAGCCAACGAGGGAAGCATTTTCAGTGGTGTGTAAAAGTCTTGGAAAAATACATTATTTTCTTTGGGCAGCTCCGGGAGTGCCCGGGGTGACAGGCCCAGGGTTCCAGAACTGACAGGGGCACAGCCACAAGAATGGGGTGATCCCCAGTGCCTCGTCCTCCTGGAGAAAAAGAGAGGAAAAAAGAAAAGGGGAAGGTTGGAGCTACTAAAATGATGTGCTGAGAACAGCCAAAGTCTGAAATTTTGGGATTGAAGCAGCATTAAACCTCAGCAGTGTGACAGAAGGACTTTTCTGGAAGCATGGGAGCTGTGGGGCTGAGAACCCCACTCCCAAACTCCCATGGGAACACAGCCTGAAGCCTAAAATGTTGGTGAAACCAGTGTCCTGTGGGATTTCTGTGCATTGCCATGATGCTTCCTTCTAAACAGGGGTGTCAGGGACTCTGTACCCCCAGCCAGGGCAGCTGAAGTCCTGCAGGCTGCAATTTCAGCCTGTAGACTCCACACCATGGGAACATTTTTCTGCCAGGAGGACTCAGCACAGCCCTGTCCATCCCTGCAGGGCTGCAGGAGCTCCTTTGCAGCAGCTTGAGGCTCTGGTCCTCCCCATCAGTGAAGCAATGCCTCGCAGAAGGGACAGCAGATGGGAGCAGCTCAGGTTTCCCGGGTGTCACACACTCCACCTGCTCTTTAAAGCACTCAAGTGTTATCCCTGGACTCAGGAAAACAGGGGCAGATTATCCTGCTGGTGCTGGGAGGGTGGAATCCCCCTCCAGAAAGGGAGAAATCACCTCCTTTATATCCCTCAGGGGGTTTGCACGAGTCAGGAAAACTTCCTTGCAGTTCTGCCTGACAACCCATCTGCACTGAGAGCAGCCTCAGGTGGGAGCAGCTCCTTGGGGTGGAGAGCCCTGAGTGGGACATTTCCTCCCTCTCTGCTTCTCACCAGGCTTGCTGTTCCCAGAGCTGCTGTTTGGCCCCAAGAAATCAGAGTGGAGAGTGGAAAAGTGGTAAATAAACCACGCTGGGTCCTCCTTGCTCTGTCCCACACGGATCTGAGGCCAGGGTGCTGCTGTACAAAATGATCAGGCTGAAGCTGCCTCATCCCTGCCCCTCTGCTCCCTGCAGAGGTGAGGAGCTGGCTTCACCTCTTCCAGCCAGGACAAGGCAGCCCAGATGCTGCAATGTGCTCATAAATAAATAAACCCCCCTGTTTATTGCTGTTAGAATTGCAGCCTACCTGGCTCTTGGTGCTAAATAATTCAGAGGGAAGAGCAGCCAGGCAGTGCTGAGAGGCTCCCTGTGCAGGGGTGGACGGTGAGGATGTGGTGTGGGAGGGATCATGGGGCAACCCGAGAGCAAGGGAGGGTTTTTCTTGCGTGAGGTGCCTCGTGAAATATTAATTGATTGTCCCTGTGGGTGATGTGATGTGCTGTGGCTGGCTCTGCTCTGTGACCCGTTTGCAGGGAGCTCTGGGAGATCCAGAAATGGCCAAAATGTTTTGTGAGATCAAGGGCACGTGCTGTAAGTCCTGCCCTCCAGAGGAGCAGCTCACTCCAAACTCCAGAACAAATTGCTTGGTCTTGTCTTCCCTTTTCAGCCCTAAACAAACCCATCAGATCAATCCCACTCCCCTTCCCTCCTTTGATCTCTGGAAGTGATGCTGTGCACTGCTGTGGGGTTTGTCTGTGCACGAGTCTACTTTGGGAGCTTTGTTATCTCTTAAGAGCCTGTTCCAGCTCTGTTGGATGGCACTGGGGGCTTTTGCTTTTCATCTGAGCGGGGTGGGGCCCACAGCAGCCCCGGATGAAGGGCTCAGCAGGTGGTTTTGCATGGTGGTGGAGGGAAAAAAGCTGGTGCTTAGCTAAAGATATGAAATAAGAGACGTTTTCAAATGAATTTTAATAAACTGGGGTCTCTGCAGACCTGTTGGGTTTCAGTGGCCTCAAAGTGCTCATTGCTGCTGGGCATTCCCAGCTCTGCTGTGCTCCTACATAAGAAATTGCAATGTGCCTGGAGGACTTTGACAATTTCCCAGGGAACCCAGAGCTTTTAGATCTTTTGACTGACAACATTTTTACTCATTTTACCAAAAAAGACGACCCAGAGATTGGTCCCAAACCAGGGAGCTCATGGCTGGGGAAGGTGCAGCACCTTCACCCACCTGGATGGAGGATCTGTGGGAAGGTTTTCAGTGAAAACCCAGTGCTGGTGAGAAATACTGCCTTAAAAGATCTCCCAGCTGGCTTTTCTTTGTGTTGCCTTGATGGGGATCTGGTGGGGTGGGAGTGAGAGCAGAGTTCCTCTCACCCACTCTGTCCCTTCCACATCAAATCTGGTTTTGCAGCCAGCTCAGGTGTGTTCAGTGACAAAAAAAAGAACCTAAATGGATGTATAAGGGAGCTTAAGTCAAAAGTAGGGAAATATTTCAAATAGTGGATGTTGGTAGAACGAAATTAAATTGTGTTGTTGCACTTAGAACTCCTGGGGAAGAGCAAGGGATGAACAGAGGAAAAAGCCAAGGCTTTGTCCCAAAAGCTGCCCTTCAGCTCCAGATTTTGGATGGTCCATTTAGTAATCCTCACCCCGGTGTGACTTCTCCCTCTAATTGCATTCTGTGAGTCCTTATTTAGCCATTAGCTGCCACTGCAGGGACACAGGTTATTAATTCCTCCCCTGCCCTGACTTTCACTCCGGGCCTTCACCAGCAGTCAAGGTGAAGCTGGGAGGGCCAGGAGAGCTGCATCCCCATGAAACCCTGATTAGAAAACATTTTTCTCCCTTTTCTGCCTCCTTGTCTTACATGGGGGGTTGTATCACAGGAGCCAATTACACCTCCAGCCCAGATTTATGGCTGGGGATGTGTCCATGTGATTTTAATATTCTTTTACTCCTTTCTCTCCAGCATGGCAAGCACTGGGGAAGGAAACACTCAGAGATTAAGAGCAGAACATGCATGTAAAAGAAAGGAGGTCGTGCCTTGTGGTGGATTTTTTATTGCTGTTGTGACAAGTGATGTTTAAGCGTTAAGAGCACAATATGCATTGTAGAAGAAAGGAGGTGGTGCCTTGTGGTGGATTTTTTATTGCTGTTGTGACAAGTGATGTTTAAGCAGAAGTCACCTCTGAGTTGTGCCTTCTTGCCAGAGCTTTGCAGCCCTTGCCTGACTCCCTCCTGTGTTGGCACCTTGCCCATGGACACACCTTGGGTGCTCCCTGTGGCAGGGCAGGGCAGCTGGGATGGCTGGAATTGCTCCATGGCTGGGCTCAGCACTGCTCTGTCCCCTCCTGGGCTCAGGGTTTTACCTGAGCTGGCTGCAGGTCTCAGCACTGCTTCAAACTGCTTGGTCTGGAGCTGCTCCCCTGAAATGATGCACTGAGAACAGCCAAAGTCTGAAATGTTGGGATTGAAGCAGCATTAAACCTCAGCAGTAGGACAGAAGGGCTTTTCTGGAAGCATAGGAGCTGTGGGACTAAGAACCTAAGGAAGGCTGAGGTGTAGCAGGGGAGAGAAAGAAAATTAATGCCAGTGAAAGGATCCAAAAATAGCAAATTCGGGGGCTAACCAGGCCATGGATTAAATCTTTCAGGAGAGGCAATCTATCATGGGCAGGGAGGGAAGAGGAGGGAATTGCTCCTGAGGGCAGTTAGAGGTTCAGGTGTGGCCAGCTTTGCTCCTCCAGTGTCCCATGCCCGTGGTTCACCTGCCTTCTCCAGGGTGCCCAGGAGGGATGGGCAGAGCTGCCCTGCTGCCACCCCTCTGTGTCCCTGTGCTGTCCCTGTGCAAGGCTGGCTGTGCCCATGGGGATGCTCCAGCCCCAGCAGCCACAGCCCAGCCTGGCCCTGAGCCAGCAATAATACGTGGGCTTTAATTAAAACAGTATTTTTCGTCTCCCTCATACATTATTTGGTTATTGCTTCAGAATGAGCCAAGGAATTCTTGTATTCCCCCCACTCCCTCCCTCGCTCCTTTAATCTGCTTTCTCCCCTCCTTTCTTTCTGCCCTTTTGGTGTCCTTTCCCTCATCTCCAGGAGTTTTAACTTTTTTCAGCTGTCACAAAGTTGTTAAGATGAGGAAGCCTGGGGTTCATGGGGAGTCAGTGATTCCACTGGGATTGCTGGAAGGTGCTTCCATGGAAGCAGTACAGAGCCTGGCCGAGCAGGGAAGGAGCTCACAGGTGGAAAGGCTGGAGGAGAAGGTGTTTCTCCATCCCAGCAAACCAAACACCAGGCTGGAATCAAGATTCCTGAGCTCTTTGTGCAGCACCAGCTCAGCAGGAAGGGCTCGGCCATGGGGGCTCCGAGGTGCTGTGCTGTCAGACCATGCAGCTGCTCATTTTGGTGCCCAAATGCTGCCCTGTGTGCCCAGCCAGCCTCCCCACCTGCCTTCCTGCCCAGCCCTGCCAGCTGTGCCCTCGGCAAGCAGCAGAGCTGGTGTCACCCTGGCACAAAAATGGCTTTGCATTGAATGTTTTGTGCTGCTCAGCAGGATGCTCGGGGCTGGGCTGAGTTCAGGAGCTCTGCTGTGAGGGGTGAGGCACCAATATAAAATATAACCCTGTCATTCCTTCCCTTGCCAGGCCCTTCCCTTCGGAGGAGACCACGGAGAATGACGATGACGTGTACCGGAGCTTGGAGGAGCTGGCAGAGTGAGTGGCCTCACCTTCTCCTGGGAGGGCTGAGGCAAAAGTTGCTGTGGGTTTCCAGCAAAGGCAGATAAAGTTTGACAGCAGGGCTGGGAGAGCCAGGACGGCTGCTTTGATCCTTTGGCCAGGAGATTTTTGTGCTCTGACAAAAGTCCATCTTTTTCTGGTGCGGTGTCACTTTTAATCAGGTTGAGTTGAGGAGTGGTTTGGTGGGGGGTGAAAGGGGCCAAGCCCAGGGAATCCCCAACTCCTCCTAAATCCCAAAACCCTGGCACATAATTCACCCTCTGAGGGGATCCAAGCCAGCTCTGGGGGTGAGGTACTCATTTCCCCCATGGCATTTTTTGGGTACTGGCACATGGAGCTGCACCCCCGTGTGTGATTTTGGACCCCACCAGCTGGCCTGGGGCAATCAGGGAATAATTTGGGTTGAAAACGACCTTGAAGACCATTTCATTCCAACCCTTTGCAATGGGCAGGGACACTTCTCACTGTCCCAAGTGGCTGACCTTGGACATTTCCAGGGCTGTGGCATGACATCCTGCCATGACACCCGTCCTGCTTGTCCTTGGTGGGACGTGGGGTGATGCTGCTGCTCTCTCTGTCTGTGTTTATCTGGCTTTTCTGCCTGTGGTGGTGATGTAACAGGCTTTTAAAATCAACCTTGAACTGCAGAACACACGGGGTAGTGCAGGCACTATTGGAATTCAATGGCAGCATTCCCATCAAGCCGGGGTTTTGCTTATGAAGTGCAGTCTGCTACATATGGAGGGATGGAGTGCATGGGTGGATATGTGGCTTTATGCAGTTAAATATTATTGTTCCACAACATAAATAATAAGACTCCTTAATCCAATGAGTTCCTTATGGCTTCAGTTATTACAAAAGTAAATCATAAATTACCAGCAGAGGGAACGGAGTGCCCTGGAATTCCCTGCTTGCTGTTGGCTCCCAGCAGCTGCAGTTTAATAAAATTTTAACCAAGAAAGGGATCCTTTCAAGAATAGCATTTTTTGTGCCCCCTCTCCAAAAGTTCTCAAAATCCCTTTAATATTGGGGTTTAAAATTCCTGTTTCTCACACACAGACATGCTTTTAATTGGAGAGAGATTTGTGTGGGACTCTCACACAAATGCTGGTGGAGATGGCAGTGCTGGCCTAGAAAGAGCAGGTTTGGGGTGCTGCCCTTGGTTATTTGGTGCTGGAAACAGGTTCCTAGACTGGTTCCTTGTCCCAGTCTGCTGAGGACAAAGTGACCAGGTGGAAACTTCCCAAACTGTTCTTTGCCCCTTGGTCAGAGGGGCTGTGGTGCCCGTCAGATAACTTGGAGGTTTATTTCAACTGATTTCCCTGTTCTGTCCCAGATTTCCAAATTTAACTTTCCCTGTTTTCACATTATCTGAAAAATCCTGTTTTTAACATCTTATGTGGGACTCGTGGGGGACAGGCATGTTGCAATCAGCAGGGATTGCACAAATTCCTTCATCCAGGCCTGCCCTCCCAGTGCACGAGAACATGGCCTACAAAACAGTGTCAGAATTCACCCACAGCTGGAAAAACCCCCAAAACTCCCTGGAGAACCCCTCAGCCTGAGTTCTGCTGCTCCTGCTGCCTGCAGCAGAGTGCTCTTTCTCCCCTGGAGCATTTCCTCTGGCTGGAAATGTGCCAGCCCCAGTGTGTGCCCAGGCCCCACAGCCTGTGGCACTGATGAGAAACCTCCTTTTTCTCAGCTCCTGCCCTCTCCAAACAGCTCAACAAGGGCAGCATTCACTGCTGGGAGTGATTCAGTCCATCCAGCATCTCTGCCTTTAGTGCTGCTGATGATCCAGCAGCCTTGGGAAGATGTGGCTGCAGCCAAAATGGTTTTTTTTGGAGGCGAGGAAGTGATTTCCACAGCAGGCAGGGAAATGACCCAGTGTGGGGAGGGAGCTGCTCCAGCCCTGCCTGTAAAACCAGCAGGGATTTGTCACCTCAGGGTGGCACTCTGCTGTCCCCACAGGCCTCAGGGGGACAAGAGTGGGTGAGGAGGGACAGCCCTGGTGGGCTCTGTGCCACCAACTCACCCTGGGAGAGAGGAATCCCCTAAAGGGAGCTCTCTTTGGGGAAAAAGCTCAGGATAAACTCTGAGTTGGTTCTAACAAGATATTTTGGAGGCTGGACAATGAGGTTTTTCTGGAGAATGCCAGAATGCTTTGTTTCAACTTGAGTGGAGTAGTTTGGTGTCCCCACGTTGAGGTTTTGAATTCCTGTGCTGCAGAGCCTTTAGAATATGAACATGTTTGTGATAGAGGTGCTGATTTGGGCAGCAGAAGGAACCAGGCTTTGTCCCTGTTGTCCCCATGATTCTCTAAAGAGTGGGAACCTTCCTCCTGAGAGCCCTCCCAGCAGGGAGGAGCTGTGGGACAAAAACCAGGGCTGGACAGGGCATGCAGGAACAAGCTGTGTGTGAAATCATGGGGCAGCCACGGGGTTCTGCTGTGTTTAAAGGATGTTTAAGCCTTGGTGACCCCATTGTGCTTTCACCTTTGGGATGGTGCAGGGATTAATCCCAGCTCCAGACAGATCCCCCAGCCAGGCAGATCAAGGCACGTAATTGCCTGGAAACAGCTATTTAGTTAAAAAAAACCACCAAACAATTGGTGATGGAAAGGGGAAGGGAAGCTAAAAGGCTATCAGGGGAGCTGGGAAGTTCTCAAATTCCCTGCTTTCAGCCCTCTGGCCCCTCGGTTTGCTGTGCCCTGGGCCAGATGGCAGCTTGCAGCCAGCCTGGGCAGATGGCAGGGGCTGCTTGCATTGCAAGTGCTGCCTGATCGATGCTGTGAGGAGCTGTAAAGGGACAATTGGCCTCTGCTGCCTGATTTATTCCAGCCAGCCCCATGCCAGACCCTGGAGCAGCCATTTAGGGGGAGTTTGTCCATGAAATGAGCTGGGTTTTGCAGCAGCAGCGGCAGCAGTGTGTGGGTTCATCCTCTGGAGCCTGTGCCCCCTTATCAGGGATTATCAGTGACCCTTGTCCTGAGGATGCTCCTGCAGATCCCTGGGGAGGGGAGCTGCTGCTTCCCACATGGCTGTGGCTGCTGGGAGCTATGGCAGGAGGCAATTATCCACCTTGCTGCCCTGCCAACTGCTTTTCCATCCCCCTTTATGGCTCTTTCAGCTGCTCCAAACCATCCTGGTACCTCAGAGTTATATTTAACATTTCACCTAAATTTTCTCCACTGCCACTTGAGCTCTCTCCAGTTATTTGGTCTCATTAAATTTATGGCAGTGATTAATCCTGGCCCTCTTTACAGCCCCAGAGCCTTCTCTATGATGAACCTTCTCCACTTCATGGCACTGTCCCTCTGCGGTGGCACAATTAGGTGGATAACACAGGGCAGATTTTGGGTTCTTTGTTGGCTGCTTGAAGAATTCAGAGTCAGGCAGACGTTCTGTGAATGGTTTGATGTGAAACATTTAATTTGCATAACTTTTACCTTTGTTTTCTTTTCTGAAGAAGATTTGAGGAGAGGAGTTGTAGTGTTGCCTAAAGGACCAAGTAAGTGTTTTAGGCAAAGCAGGTCCCCACCAAACCCTGCCCCTGGAGAGCTTTGTCCCACAGGTTGTTGATATCCCCTGCTCTTGCTTGGAGCTGCAGCTCACTGGGAATTTATCCCAAACAAATTTATTGGGGTAATTGTGTATTCCCAACCTTTCCATCCCAGAGAAGGGGAGAAGGAGATCTGCTAGGTACAATTTCTCAAGTGATGGCTCTTCTGGACTCAGCTTCTTGCTGAAGTTTCTCCTGCTTCTCTCACTACTCTCACCAGCATTGCCCCCCTCACATCTTCCAAAATAGTGCTGTGATCAGCAGAATTTCTCCAATGCATTAAAAAAAGTAACAAGCGCAGGAGCCAAGGTGAGATGATAAGTGAGCTGCCACTTTTCCCATTATTTTTATGTTGGACAAACCAGGCACAACAGCCCCTCACATAAATGGCTCTGTGGTGCAGGGCACTTGAGCCAGAGTGCCTGTAAATGTGTCTGTCCCCTGTGTGTCACTCCTATTGATTTTTACATGTCCTGCTTGTGCCATTTCTGGGATCATACTGGTCACTGTGGCTGTTTGAGGCTTTTTCTTGGGATCAGAATGTTCCACTTGGAATGGGGAATGTAAGACCCGAGCAGAATAGATGGGAAAAAGCTTCTGCTGTTTCCAGATGAGTGTCTCCATCCAAGTCCAGTCTGAGTAATTAAAACCCTGCAAGATCTCGAGTCCTCCAGCTTGCACTCCCTCACCCTGAAACACAAACCTGCCAGATGTGCTGCAAATTTAGGGTTCTGCTTGTCCTCTCTGACAGAATGAGGGGGTTGGCTGGAGGAGCTGTGTATTTATAGCTGTGAGTGCAGAGTGAGGATGGGAAACTGGGGATTACTGGGATGGACTGGAGCCTCACAGCAGCCTCAGAGACCCTGAAAATCTCCCAGCCTGGACCTGTGATGGCTCTGAGATCTGGCTCTTAACCCTGGTCACAGGACTGGAGATTTGGGGTTGTCTCTTGGTTGTCTTATTTTAGCCCCTTCTGTCCCCTCCTGCTCTTTCTTTTGCTGTTCCTGGTGGTTCTGGCTCTTTCCTCAGCGTGGTTTGGAGGGAGTTTTGGTGTGGTGGGTTTGTCATGAGGGCTTGTCCTTGAATTCTTGAGGCTGCTACAAACTCATCAACTTCCCACAGCAGCTTTTATGGCTGGGGAGGCTCTTCAGTGGCCCTGAAATCCCTCAGAGCTTCCCCAGTTCCCCCCAGTGTCACTGCAAAGATGACTGCAGGGTTTCTTCAGCGTGGTGGACCCTGCATGATGTCATTTATTGGGGCATCACAGACTGTGCCCATGAGCCCTTCCAGCCCCAAATGTTCTGTGATTCTATGGATTTGTCCTTCCCTTTCCCTCCCTCCTGGCAGCAGTGCCTCAGTTCTGGGAGCTGCTCCCTGGCACGGCTGCGTGGGTGTTAGTGCACAGCAGGCACTGCCAGTGAGGCAGAGCTCAGCCAAAAGCATTGTTTTTGCCTGAAATTGCCTTAGATATGGAAAGCTTTATTCATTATCGGCTTTTCTGGCTCGGCAGCAGGCTGCCAGCCCAAAGCTGGTTGGATCCTTCCTAATAACAGTAATTGCAAACGCTGGCGTTCCCTCTGAAGGGTGGCTGAAATCCCTACCCTGACCCCAGAGCTGTCAATGAATCTCCTAATCCAAGCAGTACATCACAGGCTTTGATACCCACGGGTAACTCGCAGACTCTGCTGCTTTTATTGAAGGAATAAATTGCTTTTCTTTGTGAGGAATGAGGTGATCTGGCTCTCCTTGCTCAAGTTGTTCCGTCTGCCCGTGACACGCCTGGGATGCTGAATTTATTGCCTGAATTCAGTGTGTCCTGAGCTTTCCACTGGCTAAAATCATCCCAATCCCTGTTTTAAGGACAGGGAGGGTGTGTATTTTCAACTCTGACAGGCTCAGGTGAGGATCAATATGTGCAAAGCAGAGATGTCAACATCCATACAGCCCTGCAGGAGCTTGGCTGCTCCTGGGCTGCTCCAGGAGAGGCTGATCCTCGTGCTTTACTGCTCTCCATAAAAACTGGCAGCCTCTGGTGTTTCTCAGAGATGCACTGAGAATGTGTTTTAATAAATAACAGACTGCTGGACCATGGTGATGTTGTAATACTGCCACGGCTCTCAGGTTTGAGGAACTCTGCTGCACTCCCCAGAGCTCTGCAGTGGAGGTGTCTTTCTAGGTGTCCCCAGGATGTGGGAATAGTTCCTGTTTTTTCCCAAAAACCAGAAACTGGAGTAGAGAAGGGCTTGTTCTGCTGTGGAGCACCAGGATGGGCTGGAGCAGTGAGGCTCAGCGTTTGTGACAGCAGGACAAACGTTTGGGGACAGCGTTTGTGTCCAAGGGCTGTTGGCACTTCTGTGGGCAAATCTGCTGGATTGTCCCTTGGGAGGAGTTTCTTTCCTGGTGGGAAAGGCCTTGGGGCATCCACCCTTCTCCAGTCTCAGCCCATGACTGAGCAAAACCCATCTGGCACTTGGGGACATGGCTGAGGGCTGGTAGTGCTGGGTTCAGGTTGAACCAGATGTTCTTGAAGGGTTCTCCCAACCCTGATGATTCTGTGAAAGCCTCTTCAGCACCACGTGCTGTCACTTGGGTTTCTCCCAGTGTGTGCCCACCACGCTCCAGAGCTCATGGCTTCTTGGGGAGGGAGGAGAGTTTGTCCAGGCTAGGAACAGCAGCTTTTATATTTTTCAGATTCTGTGCTGCTTTAGTGTGTAATTCTGAGCTTCGTATCAGGGGATGGTGAGCTCTCTGCACAGAGCAGGGAGACAAAACAATTCCTGCTCTAGCTGGGGACCAAGGACAAATGATCCAAATCTCAGGCCCAATACCACCAACAACTGGGCTGGAGAGAGAAAACAAGCAGGATGGGACTGCAGGGGCTGCAGCTGGAATTGGGCGATGAACTGCAATCTGCAAATGGAGCAGAGCTGATCCCAGGAAGAGACCCCGTGAGCGGCCGTGCATTTTGGGACCATTTTAGTTCATCTTGGGTGTAGCCCTGGCTGGGCTCTTGTGCTGCCCAAGGTGGATCCATTGAGGCTTTTAATAAATCCCTGCTTTATTCTTTAACTCTGTCCAGCCTCTGCTCTAGCTCAGCCTTCCCAAGGCATCAGTTCCTCACCCAGCTGAGCTCCTGCCCATGCCATTAACCCAACCACACGTTCCCAAAAACCCTCCAGCCATGGAAGTGATGTATGGAGAGACAGCCAGCAACCCGAGAGGTGTGGGCAGGGAGATTCATCAGGAGCTGGGAATGACTGGCTGTGGAAGAGGAGCAGAGCTGAGAATATAAATATTGGTGCAGATAATAACGGCGACGCCTGGGAGGGGGAAGATGGATCACCAGCTATTAGTGGGCATTATTGCAGCAGCTGCAATGCATCACCTGGGAAGAATGGGATGGATACATCATGCCAGTGTATTTATTTAAAATCCCCAAACTTTTATTGAATAAATCTGTTTGTATAAATAGGAAGGGCCGTATTTAAGCAGCCTGGTTTTGCAGGCAGATGTGCTCTGCTGCTCCCTGATATGTAATAGAGAGATGTTGAGTGTCACACTCGGAGCACAGCTTTACACCTAAATTTATTTGTGTGTAATTAATACCCCTGTTGAAAGACACAGCTCGTAAAATATGCGAACGCTGTTTGATATTCCAGCATTTCACACTGTCCTGATCCTGTGGGATTGACTTCAGTGGGGGCTGTTAGCAGCCAGCACCTGTAGATCTAAGCACTGGAATTATTATTGTTAATTGGTATTTAATATGGGCTGAATTTTTCAAAAGTATTCCAAGGCTGAGGAGCCCCTGGGAGGGGCGTGGAGGCTCAGATGATAATTAATTACTGAGCACCATCACCTTTAGCACAAATGGGCTCTACAGCTCTGGGTTGCCTTTGAAGCCTGGGAGTGCAGGGGCAGCTCCAAAGTGGTGGGGCTGCTCCTCAAAATGTGATGTTTTGCTGCTTAATTTCTCCCTGCTGTGAATGCTGTTATTGGTCTCTGCCCACCAAGCTGGGTGTCTGATGAGATTGCTTTGTGGTGGTCAGGAGAGCCTCCTGCTCCTCTGGGAAGTGCTGGATTAAAAATCACCCATCGGGGCAGGGATTGGGCTTTGTGGGAGTTGGGGCATCACTCAGAAATGGGATGCAGAGCGTTTAAACCTGGGTGGAATGCCCAGGGCTGGTCCAGGCATTGCTGTGGGTCCTGCACAGCCCAGGGTTGGCTCATCAGGACTGGGGTGCTTCTCCTACTGCTCAGAGACATTGGATTAATATCTGCTTAATCTGTTTAATATCTGCTCCTGCTTGGAGTGGATCTGGGCTCCTACAGCAGTTTGCAGCCCTGGCTGGGGGATGGGGATGGTTTTTTGGCACAAAGGAAACGTTTCAGTGAGGAAAAGCAAAATCAGATCAAGAGTGAACACAGAGCCTTAAGCGGACCAAAATCCAACTATTAAAGTGAATTCTCTGAGCATAATATAAAGTCACTGAGGCAAAAGCTGCTCCTGGTCCTGAAGAGGAGCTGAAGGGAGGTTGTGGGCCCTTTTGGAGCAGGTGGAGCTGGAGCTGGTGGCTCTGGTGGCTCAGATGGTCTCTCTGCCTTGGCTGGCAGAGCCATCTCAGCTGGGCCCATTAGTGCTGGGCAAAAGCTCTGCAGGGGCAGAGCTGGCAGCCCGTGGTGCTGTGGGCATCGTGGGCACGCCTGGCACAGGGCACAGAGCCTGGCACAGGGCACAGAGCCACTCTTGGCTGTGATCCCTGCTCGTGTCGAGCAGCGTTCCGCCTTTTCCAGCCTCCAGCCAGCGGAAAGAAATGTGCAGCAGGCACTGATCCAGGAAAAACAGAGAGCAGGGGCTGAATTCTCGTCTCTTTCTGGGATTCTCCTCCCTCCTCGGTGCCTGATGAAGTGGCAGTGAGCTTCCCCTGGGTGTTATCCCTGACTCCTTCTCCTTCTCGTTGCAGCGAACACGATCTGGGCGAGGACATCTACGACTGCGTCCCCTGCGAGGATGAGGGCGATGATATCTACGAGGATATCATCAGAGTGGAGGTTCAGCAGCCCATGGTAACAACCCAGCTGTGTTTTCACGGCCACACCTCGCTGGGAGGGGCAGGGAGGGGGTTCCAGGAAGGAGAGAACTCCGTGCCACTGGCAGGTGACGCCGCAGGGAGGGGAACTGCTCCGAGTCCTCCTCCAAACTGGGATGGCACCAGCCCACAGGGGTTCTCCGAGGAATTTCCCAGCCCAGCCTGTCATCTGCAGGAGTTGGGGAGGAGGAAGGGAAAGGGAGACCTAATAAGCCCTAAAAGATAAGCTAAAAATAGGGTTTTGCTGCTGCTGAGGCTGTGTCACTCCAGCCTTTCTGGTGAGGCTCCGCCTGCTCCGTCAGCCAGAGGTGCCACTGGTATTTTTAGTTCAGGGTGACAGATCTGTGTGTCAGGGATCCAGCAGCTGTCTGTGCCTGCTGCTCCTACCTGCAGCAGGAAGATGTTTACAGTGGAGCTTTCTGGGGCAGCAGGGACCAGTGTGCCATTAGGGACAAGTAGCTGTCCCCATTTGTCACCTCTAACAAGCTTTTGCTGCTGGAGAAGCCTGAGTGTGAGGCATGGACAGCATCGTGGAGGGACTTGTGATGTCTCCAAGGGCTGTGGAGCAAATACTACACTCCATGGATGAGCCAAGGAGGTGTTGGTGGCCCTTGCACCTCCCTAAGGTGCCCACAGCCACCTCTCTACCTATGTCCCAGTGTGAAATTTGTGACCTTTGAAATCTGACCTTTCAAATTTTCTCCCCCCCAGTCCAATATCTGCCTCCCCCAGGCTTTGTTCAGTCGTTAATTACTCTCCCCTAGTTCAGCCCTCCCTGGAACAAAGCAGGATCAATGGACAAATTCAGTGATCAATTCAACCCCTGGAGCAGCACGAGGGGCTGGAGCCTGGCAGTGCAGGGCTGCATCCATGGATGCCTGTGTTCTGCTTCCTCAAAGATCATAAACCCCTCATTCCATCCCTTCACACCTTGGCTGCAGCTGGAGGAGCTCCCTGCACACCAAACCCCCCCTGGATCAGGGAGTTGAGCCCAAAATGTTCCCCTTGATCCTGCCAAAGTGCTTGGATCTGAAGGCACACAGCTCGTTGGTCTCCAGTGGTTTTTGTCACCAGTTGCTGAAGCCACTTGGCCCAAGAACTGCCCCAGGAAAAGGTTTTGGTGGGAATTTCTTGCATAAATGGGAAAAAAATGGGGGAAAACTCCAGCAGCCAGGTAATAAAGGATAAAGGTCAGTGGAACTGGCAATTTTTCACTGTCCCCTCCACGTTGTTTTGTGTTTTCTGCTGAGCAGTGTTGGAGTTAAGAGCTGTGAGTCCCTCTCACTTCCCTGGGGAAAAGAGCCTATTTTTAATATATCTGCCCAAAAGTTGAACTTTTTGGGTAACATTTGTTGCAACAGCAAGTGTGTGATGCTAATGGCTTCTTGTATTTCTGCATGCTTCAGATTAGATACATGCAGGTAAGATGAATTCATTAAAATCTGGGGTTTCTCCAGCTGAAAGGTCCCAGCTGTGAGTTCTGAGGGGGTGGACAGAGGGGCTCTGTTCCTGTGCATGATCCATAAAACCCCATCACTGAACTCCCTCCCAAATTCACATTCTGCCCTGCCAAGTGCAGCAGCTCCCAACACGTGGTCCCAGCTTTACAGAGCAGAAGTGACTCCACGAGTTGGGGCTTTGGGAAAAAGCACATTTTATCAGATTTGACCTAAAATCAGGAGAACTGGCAACCCTGGCCAGGGATTTGTATGAGTCTGATGTATTATTTGTGACCCATTTAGTATCTGTTGTGAGTTTCATCTTAAGCAATAAAAAAACAGTTTAAAAAGGGGGAAAAAATCAGCCTTTATCTCTTATTATTCTTCTTTACCTGATAGTCTTTAGTGATGTGGCTGTAATAAATGCAAAAAATGCAGTTTTTCCATGTTGAAACATATTTAATAACACAGCCAGGGTTCCTCCTTACATTTTTTGGATAAAAATGGTTCCCTTTGGCATAAACCAGTGTGGTCCTCTCCCGACTTTCCAAACTTGTGCTTGGTTGCTGTAACTGGACCACCTTTAGGACCATCTGACCATGCCTTATTTTTCCTTTCCCTAGAAAATGGGAATGACAGAGGATGACAAAAGGAACTGCTGTTTGCTAGAAATCCAAGAAACTGAGGCCAAATACTACAAAACCCTCGAAGATATAGAAAAGGTGAGAAGTGAGCCCTGCTTTCCCCAGCAGCCCTGGATCCCACATGAATTGTCCTGGGTTGGTTCTTGCTCCCAAAGCTGGGAGATGTGAGGGGCAGGATGGAGGAAAATGGGAGAGGAGGAGGATCCACAAAACCCAGGCAAAAGCAGCATTTTTTTGGTGATTGCTGCAGATTAGAAGCAGGCTGAAAAGCCTCCTGCTGTGTCCCCCCCATCCTGGGGTGAGAATCTCCCACTCCTGGCTCAGCCAGACCGAGTTTGCTGATAAGAGCTGTGTTTGCAGATATCTCTTATCACTCTGATTGCCACGGAATAATTCCTTTATTCCGAGTGCTGAAGCTGTGCTGTCTTGCCATTGAAGCTAATTGGATTAAAAGGAACGTTGTGCTGCCTAAATTCGTGGGGGTTTTAATTGGTTTTAATGAATTATTGTGGCTCCTTTCTTTCAAAAACAAATAAAAGGATAACACCTCAGCAATGGATGGAGCCTGAAGGTGATTCCTGCTCCCAGGAAAGCAGCAGGAAGGAGGAACAATAACGAAAATCAAGCTGCCATTTCTAATCACCCTGATGCTTTTGTTTCCTCCCCTTTTGCCATTCTTTCCCTCTGTCTGCTGAGAGTTCCCCCGAAGAAGCTGTGAGCAAAACTGGAAAAATGGAAGAACATTTCCCATTTTCCAGGAAAATGTCCCAATATTTTTGTCATTTCTGTTTCCAAGGAACCCTTGTTCCTTGGAAACAGCCACAGCCCTCTGGTTCAGGACAAAGGAAGGGTTAAATTATTGCTTTCATATCAATTAAAGCTTGCAAAGGCTTTGCAGGTCCTGGAGGTGTCATGGGTGGAAGTTCCCCTTTTGGGTTGTTGTACTTGGGGTTTTTTGCAGTTCCAAGTCACGTAGATGTTCCTATTAATATGTATTTGTTCAGAAAGGCATTGCCCATGTAATCACATCATTGCTGCCTTCTCAAGGGCAGAATTCCAGGGAGATAAAGGGCTGGAATGATGCTTCAGTGCAGCCAAGGACTGCAGAGTGCATTTCACCCCCCTGCTGCAGCTTTAGCAGGGGAAGGGGCTGTGGGCACCCATGGGTGGGGGTCTGGCACCTTCCCACCCCTGGAAGTGCTGTGGGAGCTCAGGGATGTTACACTCATGGAATTCCTGCCTCCCACTTCCCTCCCTGCTCATCCTCTGCCTTTGCAGGTGCTTAAGCCCATGAAAACCTGCCCAGATGAACTCAGCTGAAATTATAAATCCCTTGCACAACCTCATTCCCTGTTCTCCAGTGCCTCAATCCCTTTTCCATTTCCCTCTTGCAGAACTACATGAACCCCCTGAGGCTGGTACTGACTCCCCAAGACATGGAAGCTATTTTTATCAATTTGGAGGTAACACCGTGGGCATTGTGCCTTAAATCTTTGTTCTTTTCACAGCAGCTCAGCCCTCTCCCTGCTTGGGAGGAGGTTTTCTGATTTCCTCTTAGATTTGTGCATTCACTTGGAGAGCTGCAGCCTTTCGTGTGCTGTGGAGCTTAAACTGCTTTGGGAGGCATTCTTTAACACTCAGTTTTACAGGTGGGGAATATATGAACTCTAGGAAAGAAAACAATTCTATCTAGTGGATGTTTCAGGGCTGGGGCTCTGGATTTTAGCTGATCTGGGCACAGGGTGATGAAGGGATTTATTTCTCCTCTGGTTTGCACAGAGTCTAGGTTAAAACCTCATCTCCTCCACTCCTTCCATCCCATCTCCTGCTCCCTCCCCACCCTGGGCCATTTCTCACTGCTGGAATTACACCCCTGTCCTCCAGGCCACTCAGGGCTGCCCTCCACTAGAACAACTTTCTTTACAAACACCTAAAAGAGGGAAACCCCTGCCTGATGAAGGAGGGAATGTGCATTTCTCTGGGCTCTGTTTGCCCACCTGCTTTGAATGTGTTTAAAGTGTTGACTGTTGCTTGGTTTTAGGACCTAATTAAAGTGCACTTCAGTTTCCTGAGAGCCATCGATGTCTCGATGATGTCTGGAGGAAGCAGCCTGGCAAAAGTGTTCCTGGAGTTCAAAGAGAGGTAAAGGAATCCCAGGCTTCAGGCAGCTCCAGTTTGAACAGATTTGGGTTATTTTTGGAGATTTAAACAGAGTTCTTGTTACTCTCTACTACAGCCTGAAAGGAGGTTGGAGCCAGGTGGGGATCTGTCTTTTTTCTCAAGTAACAACAGGACAAGAGGAAATAGCCTCAAGTTCCACCAGGGCAGGTTTTGAATGGATATTAGTGAAAATTTCTTCACTGGGAGGGTTGTCAAGCACTAGAACAGGCTGCCCTGGAAGTGCCCAAAAATTGTGTGGCTGTGGTGCTCAGGGCCATGGTTTAGTGGCAGTGCTGGGTTGGTGGTTGGACTCAGAGGTATTTTTCCACCTAAATAATTCTGTGATTCCAGAGATGCCTTTCACAGCAGCCCAGGTTTGCATCCTCCACAGCAAACTGCTCTCAGGCAGCTGAAACATCACTGAGAGCTGACATTAAGCAGCCAAATTCAGCCACAACTGTCAGATCATCCAGGGCACAGGCTGGGACATCTCCCCTGTGACCACCAGGCTCAGTGGTGTGGCTCCTGCAAGCCCCTGGATTTTTCTGGAGCTCAGTATCCCCTAGGAGGCTGAATATCCAGTGTGATTGTGGGGACACCTCTGAGGGGATAAAGATGAGCTGGAGTGGAGTAAAACCTCAGTTGCCTTCAGGGGTTTTGTGTGGTCTCTGCAAGCAGCAGAGGGCTGTGATGTGGTGGGGTGACTCCTGCTTTGATCAAAGTGGTTCCTCACTCTCAAAAAATCTCATATTTGGCACAGAGCTCATCCTGCACCTTCTGCACGATGAATAAATGTGAAAGTTTCTGTCACAAACAGAATCAATCCTGGGTTTTGGCAGCTGCAAGCAGGAGCACCCCAGCACGCAGAGATAAGGTTGATAAAAGCCTTTAATATCCTTAATACTAATCAAAGGGTGATTCATTGTGGAATGGTGCCAGGCTGTTATTTCACTGTGATTAAACCAGTGTCTAGACACAGAAATGCCATTCAGAAGTCAATAACTGCAGAAATACCATCTGCATTAATAACACACCGTGAGGTCACATCTTCCATCATTCTGGGGGCCTCTTCTTATAAAGGGCATTTTTTTCTGGGTTAAATTACAAAAATATTTCATAGAGGAATGCAAATAGTTTCGAAATACTCATAAAACTCACTTAGGTGATTTTGATCTCCTGATTCCTGGCTCAGCCCCGTGCATGCCAGTGCCATCCCTGGGGCAGAGCTGTGGACACAGGGAGCAGGGAGGGGACATAGGAGGGGTTGTGGAGGTGACACTGCTGCCCAGGGAGGTGCAGTGGCTGAGCAGGAGCACGAGGCTGGGTTTTGAGCCATTAAATCAATGTTTTCTTCTGTTGTCATGCTGGTGGGAGCTGGCAGAATGCTTGGAGCTGGTGAGTTCCATGCAGATGGGTGAAGCACCTTGCTAAGGGAGCTTGCAGACAACTTCCTGAAGGACCTGAAAGCCTTGGAGAGGTGTGAGGGAAGGAGCCCCAGCAGCTGTGAGGTGCTGATGGTGGATCTGAAGCTCTCTTCAGTCCATGGGGACTTTGGGGACATCAGTGCTGTGGGAAACTGCTGCTCAAGGAGGGTTTTACTTTGGAGAAAATCAGATTGTTGGGGATGAAGAGTTTCGAGCAACCTGATGTAAACAGGCAGAGTCCTTTCCTCCATCAGGAAAGTCAGGAACACATTTTACAGCAAGGGGATTTCAGTGCAGGAGGAGGAGAAGGTGAACTCGCTGGGGAAACAAGTGTTGTCCCACCAAGAAGGGATCATGGACCTCCAGAGTTCCCACTTGTTCCCTGAGTATGGGACCTTCCTCCATCAAATCTATCCATGACAAACAACTCCTGCTGCCCTCCACATCCTTGGAGACACTGGCAAAATGAGGCATTGCTCCTTGGCTTTGCAGGGGCCTTTTCTAAGGAAATAGTTTGTAAATATCTCCCTCTGGAAGCCAGAGGTTTGAATTTATGCTCCTGAAGCCTTTTTGAAGCTCTCCCCATGTTGGCAAGGTAGATATTATTGTGCCTGTGCAGAAGTTGTCAGGGGAAAAAGGTGGAAGAGTAATCTTTACTGGCTGTGGCTCTGCCGGGGCTGTGGCTCCATAAATCTCTTTATTCACTTCCCTGCAGGGTGTGAATGTCCCATGTTTATGGAGCAGCTGGGTCAGTGGTTCCCAGGTCATCTCCATCGAGAGATGAGGCCCCCAGATAATGGATGAGGTGCAGTTTGTGATGGAAGATGTGTCTCAGCAGCAGCAGCAGCACAGTTAACAGCCAGGAAGGGGGAGAAAACCCAAACCTGTCAGGCAGGATTAATGAGGGAAGTGAGGGAAAAGGGGGAATCCATGACAAAACTGCTCTTTTTTTGTCAGTGTTTAAATTTATAGCCCAGGGTGTCCATGCAGAGCTTCACTGTGTTTCCAAAGGCTGTGACAACATTCTTCTCCCAATTATCCAGGCTCTTGATCTCTAGGTCCCCGTGGCACATTCAAGAAGATGTGATTCTAAAATGTGACAGAGAACCATCATGGAATCACTGAATGGTTTGGGTTGGAAGGGACGTTAAAATCCATCCCATTTCACCCTCTGCCGTGGGCAGGGACACCTTCCACCATCCCAGCTTGCTCCAAGCCCTGTCCAGCTGGCCTTGGGTAATTCCAGGGTCAGCCACAAACTCTCTGGGCAACTTCTGACAGTTCCTCACCACCCTCACAAGGAAGAATTTCATCACACTATCTCATCTAAAACCAGGCTCCTCTGCCCTGGCCATCCAGCCCCTTCTGTTCACCATGAGCTGAATCACCTCCATAGACTCTGGAAACTTCTTAATGTTCAAACGTTGAAAATTTAAATGTCAAAAAGCCACACAATAAAAGAGTGTTTACACTTTGCTAAGCAGTGAAATGGGGAATAGCTGTTTGCCTCGGCCTTTCGCTGTACACACATTTATATATCTTTTATAACAGCTTATAACTGCCAGCATTTCCAGTTAAACCTGTGATTTTCCTCCTTCCAGGCTGCTGATTTATGGCAAGTACTGCAGCCACATGGAATATGCCCAGAACACCCTGAACCACCTCCTTGCCAACCGGGAGGACGTGCGGCAGAAGGTGGAGGTGAGTGGGCAGGGGCTGAGTGCTGCCCCCAGCCCTTGCCCCAGCTTTGGGAAGGACCTGCTGGAGCTGAGGATGGTGTCTGGGGAATGTTTGATTGACCAGAAGAGAAGAAGGGTGTCAGAGTGTGTCTATGCAGCCACAGAGGGAGCAAAGCTGGGGGTTATCCTGTCCTGCCCCTCGTTTTTTCCTTATCTCCTCACCAGACCCTCACTCTGTCCTTCCTCCCCAAGTTTATCCAAGTTAAAACAAACCAGTGGCTTTATCTGAGTGGGACTGGCTGGGACAAGATCTTTGAGTTGTGCAGGCCCTGAGCATCCCCAAACCAGGAGCAACGTGGTTCTCCAAAGCCACCAGCAGCATCGGGACCGTCAGAGGCAAACCCAAATCCCCAGGCAAACACCAGAATTCCTGCCCTGGCCTCCTTCGTGTGAATAGGGGCTGATCCAGACATTAAGGGAATGAAAGGAGCCCCAGAAGGGCTGCATTGTTTGAGCTGCTGTTTTTACCCAGCTCTAATTCCTGCTTGCTCTTGATGCTAATCGGAATTTGCCGGGCTGTCTGTCCGTGTTACCTCACCTCCTGCAAATGTGCTTTGATTCCCTGTGTGAACCCAATCCAGGGGTAAAACTGCAGTTAGGAATTGTGGAAAATGTGCTCTCTGTGTCTCACATCAAGGCTGGAGCATCCAGTTGCTCCCTGCTTTTGCTGTCTCTCCCTCCCTCGTGGCAGCTCTGTCATGCAGTGGGGCTGAAAATGGGTCTGGGCAAAGGTAATGGTGGCAAAACTTCCTCCAACCACAATTAGCTCATCTTAATGACTTAATGCTCATCAGCGACTCCAGAGCCACAGGCTGCATGCTCAGTGCCAGCCCCTCACAAATCAGTAGCTTGGTCCAGCGGGGAGGTGGCTCAGGCAGATGGGTTTCATTTGACATTTCCCCAGGTCTGGGAGCATTCATACAGTGCCCTAATGAGCAGCATCTCATTAGGCTGGAGCAGCTCATTTGCATGGCAGTGGCTGGAATTTAGGGTCCAGCCCCTGGTAACCTCTGTGGTGGGAGCTCAGCCCTGGCTGCCTGCAAGGACCACAGGTCTGTGGGCATCAGAACTGAGTTCACAGGAGCCAAACAAACATTCTCAAGGCTTCAGAGACTTGTTTTAGGTGGGAAGCTGTTGTTTTCTCACTGCTGATTTATTGATCTCCTTCCTAGGAATGCACACTAAAGGTCCAGGATGGGAAATTCAAATTGCAAGATCTGCTGGTGGTTCCAATGCAAAGAGTTCTGAAGTATCATCTCCTGTTAAAAGTAAGTTTTTCAGCACTGGCACTTCTCTCTCTGCTGTAGCATCTTTCACCTCTGTCAGTGGAGGGTGAATCATTGCCAAATGCAGAGCAAGGGTTAGGATTTTTATTCCCCTTCAAATAAAATAATTACCAGAGCTACTTAACACGACATAATATTTGTGCTGTCTCCTAAAGCAGGGTGACCCAGGGTAATTCTGCACTTGCTAGCCACGAGAGGCACTTAATGAACATAAAATAAGCTTGCATATAATCTGATTATGTGTGAAATTCCTCCAGTCAGCTCCGTGTAACAGATCTCTCAAGCACCAGCCCTTGGTGTGTTCCCTGTCCTGCAGCCACAGCTGCCTGCTTGGGCATCCCTGCATCCCTGCCACCTCCCTGGCATCCCTGCAGTCACCCTTGGAATGCCTGCAGCCACCCTGCCATCCCTGTCACCACCCTGCCAACACTCAGGCAGACCCTGTCCAGTGCAGGCAGGGTCTGGAAATCTTTCCTAGCACATCCAAACTCCTTATTTTTATTAATTTATATTTACTTTTATGGTTTATTTTTATTATTAAATTTTATTTTATTATTAATTTTTATTATTAATTTTTATTTATTTGATATTTATTATTTAATATTTTATTGGTTTATTTTTATTTCAGGAGCTGCTCAGCCATTCCTCAGACCGGCCAGAGAAGCAGCAGCTGAAGGAGGCTCTGGAGGCAATGCAGGTACAGGAGGTGAAGTGGGGAGGGGGCTGTGCTGGCTTTGGGCTGCTGCAGAGCTCAGGATCCCTCTGCTCTGTGGAACAAAAATTTGGGTTTAAAATCCGCCCAGGAGCAGCTGGAGGGAAGGCAAGGTCTGCTCCTTCTGGCCACACCTGCGCGCATGGATTGTCACCTGGTGTGGTGGCCTCGCAGCAGATCCCTTGTCACCGCTGTCCCCTGAGGCAGAGGGGGGAGCTGGGGTTTGTTGACAAGTTGGGACTCTTCCCTGATTGCTGCTGTGTGTGCAGAGGCTGTGCCAGATCCGGCTTTTGTGTCTGCTGGGAGGGATTTGGAGGAGCTCCAGAGGTATCAGAAGTCAGGGAGTGTGGCAGCCATGGGAGCCTGCGTGTGTGGAGCATTCCCTGGGTGCTGTCAGCCAGGTGCTGGGTGGGAATCCTTTAATCCATGCTTTTTTTTATTTTATTTTATTAAAGGGAAGATGTATTTTCAACAATTGATAACTTTTGGCATCAGCAGTTTGCTTTGCTTCGAGTTGGTTTTTTTTCAGCTTTTAGCTGGAGCCCCCAAAATCTCAGGAAAACCATCAGCAAATGTTTCCTGGCTCGGTTATGTCTCCCCACAGACACATTCACACCAGATCCACTGTGACTGGAGGATGCTCATTACTCCAGGTTTTTCCTCTGGAGATCACCTCAGGGTTCATCCCTGTGCTCGTGGTCACTTTGTTTTCCACCTCTGGCTTTTCTAACGTGGCTGCATTTCCTGCCCCTTACATAAGCTGGGTGACCTTCCCAGCCATTCTGCTGCCAGCCCAGGGATGCAGGGCTGCTGTGGGGCTCTCTGTGGAGCTGAGGTGCTTTGAAGGACGTTGCACTGCCAGCCTGCTGCTGTGGCCTCAGATGAACGCTGTGCCTGGTGACAGCAGCTCAGCCCTGCTCGTGGCCTCCTCACCCAGCACACTGCTGAAAAACAAATGTGTGTTTGCTCTGGCTCTGCTGCACACTCAGCATTTGCTGCAGGAGGATGTTGATAACCATCAGGGATGTTTCTCTCTTCTCCTCCCCATCGCCAGGAGAGTGTGGGAGCAGTTCTGACCACGCTGGGCTCGGGGGGTTTGGGAGCCATTCAGTTTGGTTTTAATTGATCTGTAAACCAAGGCTTAACTTCCAAGTGATGTCTTTCATCACAAGTCCAGCCTTTCTGTCTGCTGTGCTGGCAGGCAGCAGACATTGCTGCTGTCTGGGGTGAGGGCTGTGCAGGGGGGTGGATGCACTGACATTCCCAAAGGGATTCAGCTCCCTTTTGTTTGGCTTGAACAGTTGCTTTTGCAAGGCGAGGGCAGGATTTGCACCAAAAAAAAATCATTAGTGGTGGGGTTTTTTTTGGTGCAGGTACCAATCCTCTGCCTGAGAATGCAGGACTGAGGTCCCAGGGGTGGTGGGGGAAATGCAGCTCCCAGTGAAATTCCACAACCAGCATTTGCAGGTTGTTGTTGTGAGTCGTGGTTGATCCTGGGATTGTGTTTGCCTGGGATTGTGTTTCCCTGGGATTGTGTTTCCCTGCTTCAGAAGGCTTTTGGTTGTGTCATTTCTCATCACCATCCCTGCCACCCCTGGCCTGGTGATGTTACAAGTATTGTCATGTAGATCTGTGATTATGGGATGTGATTAACCCTCCTTGTGTTGGGGAGCTGAGCAGGGTCTCACCCGGGGGGATGTCTTAAAAAATCCCTGCTCAGATTTAATCCAAGTTGACAAGAGCTGTTGTTGAGGTCAAGGAGGGAGCAGATAAGAAGCAAACAGGCACAGCAAATCCACTCTGAAAGGTGCAAGAAGTTGTTCCAGTGGAAGGGATGGCTCCTTCTCTTTGATGGATGAAAATCTGGGGTTTGGGATCGCTGTGCTGCCATGGATTCCTGCATTGCCATGGATTCATGCATTGCCATCTTCTGGGAAATGGAAAACATTGCAGCACCTGCCTGGCTCTGGGAGCACCAGCAGCCTCACCTGTCCCAGGCTGCTCAGAATTCTGAGGGATTCAGGGAGCCAGGCTCGTGTTCTCCTGGGTAAGGTACTGGTAAAGCAAAAAATCACTATTCACCCTTTTTTTTTTTTTTTAAGGACTTGGCCATGTACATCAATGAAGTCAAGAGGGACAAAGAGACTTTGAAGAAAATAAGTGAATTTCAGAGCTCTATAGAAAATCTGGTAAGTTGGAAAATCCTCTTGAAGCCAGTCTAATTTGGTTATTATTAATGTATTTGGGTTTTTTGGGCAATTGCTACTTATTCTGATGTGCTGAAAGATCCCCTTGTGTTCAGACTCTCTCATGACTTGCTGATAGCCCAGAGGTGGATGCTCCATCACAAAACTACTGTGGCTAGGATGGAAGGTGGCCTCTCTTTCTGGTTTTACACTAAAAATGTTTCTTCAGCTTTTTCTCACATTATTAGTGTAGGTAGGACACAGAAGTTCCTCAAGCTGCCTATCTGGCTCCTATTTAAAAAGAGGTTTTCTTTTGGTTTTAAGAGGACAGAGGTGAACTGAAGGGGGAGGAGAAGGGCTCATGTAAAAAGACGCCAAACCCCCAGAATTTCAAGCAGGTATTTTAAGGAGAACTCATCCTCCAAACTGCAGAGGTGTCAAACACTGAGCCCTGCTGCTGTGCCTCAGCAGACCTGGAGGGGTGCTGGCTTTGGGGGCTTTAAGCCTTGGCTTCATTTGGAAACAATGAACTTTTAATTTATGGTTATTTAACAGAGACAAAAATCCTTAATTCTTATGTAAACCTCTGAAAAAATAGCTTATTTCAGGTGGGGAGGGTTTGCAAAACTGCCTGGGCTGCTGAGCCTTGCCCTGGGGGGTTCCTGGGGGGCTGGGCCTGTGTTCATGGCCAGGCTCCCCTTGGAGCCTCCTCCCTCAGATACATGAACATTTTTGTAAGCTAGGCTACGTGCATAAGTAGATGTGTACATGTGCCTTATAAAATTTCTGTAATTATTAGATGATTAAATTTCTGTAAAACTTTTACCAATTACATTGACGCTAATTGCTTTGCACCAATGAATAGGATAAGTTATTCTATTGTATATTATATATAGTCAATGACTATATATATATATATATATACTATTTATATTTATATCTTATTGCCAGGCTTGGCTTTCCTTCCATCAAACAGCACAAAAACAAATTGTTCTTCTCCTTTGAGCCACAGCAGGGGCAGGGCAGGCCCAGAGCTCTGTCCAGGCAAGTTTTAAACACAGGAAGATAATTTGCTTTGCACCAATGAATACAATAAGTTATTAATTGTATATTATATATAGTTAATGACTATATATATATAGTATATAGTGTATATAGTATATATAGTATATATATTATATACTATAATAGTATATAATATATATACTATATATATAATATAGTTATATACAGAATATATATAACTATATGTAGTTAATGACTTAAGATCATACTTTGTTAAGTTAATGACTTAAGATCATGCTTTGTTAAGTGTATATAAGCTGGAGAACACACAGAATAAAAACTTTTTTCTTCTTGGACCCTGATCACCTGTGTGTCACGTCTGACCTAAGGGTGACATCCCTGCCTTGCTGGGCTGCTGCTGCTCCCAGGAGCTCAGGCAGGGCTGGGGGGTGACTCCAGCCAGCTCTGGGGTTCCTCTGCCCAGGGCAGCGTTCCAGGCTGGCTCTGGGCCTGAGCCCTGCCTTGTTTCCTGCAGCAGGTGAAGCTGGAGGAGTTTGGGAGGCCCAAGATCGACGGGGAGCTCAAGGTGCGCTCCATAGTGAACCACACCAAGCAGGACAGGTGAGTGGCCCCTGTCCCCAGTGTCCCCAAACATGCCCTCATCTAATGATTCCCCTTGAGCTCGTGTCTTTAATTCCTGCCTGGAATTTCACTGCCATAACCCAGCATCAGTGTGGAATCACAGCAGGGCACGAGCACTGAACATTGAGCTGGGGAGCTCCTCAGAGCTTTCCAAATCTTTCCCCCTTGGATTTTTTAATGGATTTCCCCTTGGAAATTTAATGGATGTTTAAATTTTTTGACTGGGTTGCTTGTTTATTTGCTTGCTTTGGGCAGGTATTTATTTTTATTTGATAAAGTGGTGATCGTCTGCAAAAGGAAAGGATACAATTATGAGCTGAAGGAAATTATTGAGCTGCTCTTCCACAAGATGACTGATGACCCGATGAATAACAAGGACATTAAGAAGGTAGGTGGACTAAGGATTAGCTCTGGAGAGCATTTTGGAGCTGTTTCAGGGTAGTATGTTCCCATTAGCCTTTTAAAATAGGAAAAAAAGCTGGAAAATAAATGCTCAACTTTCAAGGCTGCCTTAAATAGCGTTGGGAAATGTTTATTAATGTGGGGCTGGGCTGGATCCTTGACCTGTGTCCTGGCAGAACAGCCCTGAGGAGGCTGGGATGGTTGGAGTTAGGAAGCTGCTCTCTGCTTTCTGGCCCAGTGTCAGGGAGCAAACATCAGATGGGCAGGAGAGGAGGGCAGGGAGGAGGGAGGGAAGGTGCAGCATGTTCTTTCTCCCTCTGCAAGCTGCAGGGTGGAGGAGCCTGGAAAGACAGCTTTGCACACCAGGCTGCCAGAATTGGCACTCAAAGCACTGAAGGAACATCATTTTCCTGTGGTTTGATGCTCACTCTGCAGCCATGGAGGAAAAACCTCCCAGCTCTTGCTTTAAGTGAGCCCCTTCAGCTGAATCCACTTCCCTGCCATGGGGAGAGCTGTGGTGCAGATGGGATAAGGGACACTGGGGTGACAACAGCCAGGAACTGCCTAGGGAACGCTGCTGGCTTTGTGTTTTAATGAAATCTCTCTCCCCTTTGCTCTCCTATGCTTTCTAGTCCCATGGAAAAATGGTAAGCAGAGCACCCCTTTGGCTGTGTGTGTTTGTGTGCAGTGTGCTGACACAGGCTGAGCATATGTGCAGTGGGCAGGTCAGATGTTCCTCCTGGGCTGTCACTTGCTGTCAGGCACGGACAGAAGGGCTGGGGAGGATCCAGTGGAGCAGAAGAATCTGGGTTCTCTCAGCTGCCACCATGAGGTCCTGTCTGCTCCAAGTGCACAGCGCCAGGCGGCTCAGGCGTCACTAACCGGGATGTGTGAGAGACACAGGGAGCTCTCCTTCCTCCTCCCCTGCTGTCCCTGGCTCAGCACAGGGGGCAGGGACAGGCACTCAGAGCAGTGCCTGCGGCCTGTGAGTGGAAGCGTGGTGTGTTCTGCTGCGAGATCAGCTCTCTTTCCCCTTGCAGTGGTCCTACGGCTTCTACCTGATCCACCTCCAGGGCAAGCAGGGCTTCCAGTTCTTCTGCAAGACTGAGGAGATGAAGAGGAAGTGGATGGAGCAGTTTGAAATGGCCATGTGAGCATGAGTGGCTGCTCCAGCCCCGGGTGCAGCTGCCAGGAGTGGGGGAAAAGTGTCCTGGGCCATCAGGTCACTGCAGAGCAGCTCTGACAGCAAAACCTGTGGGGTGGGGAAGCTCCTGGGGGCTTGCTGGGCGAGTCCCTGTGCAAAGGGAGCTTGGAGCTGCTCTCTGAGCATCCCCACCAAGCATCTCTGACACTGAGATGGGATATTGGGCAGGAATCCTTCCCTGGGAGGGTGGGCAGGCCCTGGCACAGGGTGCCCAATCCCTGGCATTGTCCCAGGCCAGGCTGGACAGGGTTGGAGCAGCCTGGGACAGTGGGAGGTGTCCCTGCATGGCAGGGGGTGGGATGGGGTGATTTTAAATGTCCAATCCAAAGCTTTCTGTGATTCTCTGGAAGGGCACTTCACCCTGGTGTCCTTGGGGAGCACCAGGCTGGAGCAGGAGCAGGGTGAGGAGGGAAGGTGGTGCTGCAGGGCTGGTCCTGAGCAGAGCAGGGCTTGGGCTGATGGTGACTCAGGCCAAACCCATGACTCCTGTCCCAGGGGAAGGTAATGGGCAAAATCCTCTCTCCACAACCAAGCCCTGATCTCCTTCCACACTGGGCTTGGTGTCTGTGTGGTGTCCCAGCTGTGACTGAGGTGCAGTGGGGACAGGCTGATAACCCCCAGGGCCTTCCCCTCAGGTCCAACATCAAGCCAGAGAAAGCCAATGCAAATCACCACAACTTCCAGATGTACACATTTGAGAAGACAACCAACTGCAAAGCCTGCAGGATGTTCCTGAGGTGAGCAACAACCTTGCTGCTGTTCTGCAGTAAAACACAGAAAGAAAAATCTCAAAGCTGAGGCTGGATTAGGATTTTCTGAGTTTGTTTTGTTTGTTTTTTTTTTTGGTGGCACAGAGGAACCTTCTACCAGGGCTATCTTTGCCCCAAATGTGGAGCAGGTGCTCACAAGGAGTGCTTGGAGATTATTCCTCCCTGCAAGATGGGTGAGTAATTTCGTGAGCAGCTTGTTGCTGCACGTGAATGATCTGAGAAATTCACTTTATAAAGCACTGATGTTTGTTAATGCATAAAAAACCACAAGTGTGCTCCCAGCCCACCTGCCAGAGCTGTAATTCACGTTGGTTGATGGTTTAAAATGCAAACAAAGGAGCAAAATTCTCCAAAGCAAAGAGCTGCATCCCATGGATGGCAGGGAGTCACAGCAGCTCTGTGCAGGGCTGGGATCTCCAGCTCTTGTGGGTGGGCATTGAGGAGAGATGATCAATTCTTCATCATCTAACAGTGAAAGCAGGAGGGTCTGCAGCAGGGAGAACGTTTCTGATGAGGAGAGAGCTCCTCTCCAAACCCCAAATATCCCAAAGCCCAGCAAAAATTTGTCCTTGGTCTAAACTGGGCAAAGCTGGGACTCCCCTGTGCTCACCCAGGGCACAACCCTGGTGATGCTCCAGGGGGGTCACAGAGGGCTTTGGAAAGATTTTGGGTGAGGAAGCAACAAAATTGCAGGACTGAAGTGACCCCAGCTCTGCTTTGGCCTTCCTGCTTCAGCTCCACACCCTGCTGCTGGTCTGCTGACACTCAGAGCACCAGAAAATGGGTGTTTTTACCTGCTGAATTAACCCTTTACCCCACCATTTCTCTTGCAGGTTCTTCAGCAGACCAGGTACGTGGTTTGGCCTTTTCCTCACCCTTGTCCAGTGTGGCTGTGGGCAGCTCATGGGAAGAGCCAGCACTGGCCTCAGAGGGGTCCCAGCAGCTGTGGGACAGGACTGGGACCAGTGGGACAGGGCTGGGACCAGTGGGACAGGGCTGGGACCAGTGGGACAGGATTGGGACCAGTGGGACGAGACTGGGACCAGTGGGACAGGATTGGGACCAGTGGGACAGGATTGGGACCAGTGGGACAGGACTGGGGACCAGTGGGACGAGACTGGGACCAGTGGGACAGGATTGGGACCAGTGGGACAGGACTGGGGACCAGTGGGACGAGACTGGGACCAGTGGGACAGGATTGGGACCAGTGGGAGAGGACTGGGACCAGTGGGACAGGGCTGGGACCAGTGGGACGAGACTGGGACCAGTGGGACAGGGCTGGGACCAGTGGGACAGGGCTGGGACCAGTGGGACGAGACTGGGACCAGGTGGGATAAGACTGGGGACCAGGGAGACAGGACTGGGACCAGTGGGACAGGGCTGGGACCAGTGGGACAGGATTGGGACCAGTGGGACAGGGCTGGGGACCAGGGGACCAGTGGGACGAGACTGGGACCAGTGGGACAGGGCTGGGGACCAGTGGGACAGGGCTGGGGCCAGTGGGACAGGACTGGGACCAGTGTCCTCCTCTCCAGCCTAGAACTGGCCCACTTTAAGCAGCCCCAGAGCCCTCGGGAGGTGCCAGCACCCAGCTGGGGTGGGCACCATGGGCTGGGGGGTACCAGGGGGATCTGGGATGGGGTTTTCTCATCCCAATGGCATCAGGTGGCTGCTCATAGGGAGAATTGAGGCTGATGTGTCTTCACTGAGCCTTTTTCCTCTTTCTTTGCAGGATTCACTGGGTGCAGGACCTGGTAAGGGCACTGCTGTGGGGCAGGGACAGGTTGTGGCTGCAGGAATGCCCAGCTCTGGGTGTGTGGGAGGGGGAGGCTCTTTCCAAACCCAGGAGAGAGCTTCAGTGCCTGCAGAAGGGTCCTGTGCTCCCTCGTGGCCTGGGGTCCCTCCTGTCCCTGCTGCCCCTGAGTTTCTGTGGTGCCCTGGTGCCCCTGGGCAGCAAAGCTCTGCCCATCACAGCAAGGAGAGCCTGGCATGACACCCTCGTGCCAAATCCACCTTCAGGGCAGGGCAGGCATGTTCTGGCAGGGAGATTTGTTGCTGATGGGCAGCATGTCCAGTGTGCTCAGGACCATCAGTCACAAAGGTTGCTGCAATAATTTTTTATCTTCCTGTGTTTGAAACTTGCCTGGACAGAGCTCTGGGCCTGCCCTGCCCCTGCTGTGGCTCAAAGGAGAAGAACAATTTGTTTTTGTGCTGTTTCTGATGGAAGGAAAGCCAAGCCTGGCAAAAAGAAACCTGAATCAAATTTGTGGTTTTAAAAAAACCCAAAAAACAACAAAACAAGCACAGAGTGCTCCTGCTGGGAGGGGAGAGGCAGAGGTGGGGAGGCATTTTGAGGATAAACACTGTGGGTTTGGTGCAGTGGGGGAAGTTTATTTAATGTGCAGTTGTTGGCAAGACAAGTGGACTTTGACTGGGAGCTTCAGGGGCGTTTTGAGTCCCAGGTCCAGCTGATATTCAGTGGTAGCTGAGTGTTCACTGGTCCCTTTTGCAATTGTGGGGTCACTGCTGAGCCTGCCAGGGCTTGCTGCTGGCCAGGCACTGCCTGGCAAGATCTCCTCTCCTTGATTTTCGTCTCCTCGCCTGGATTTGAGCTCCTTGCTGAGGCTCAATTCCAGGTGCAGGGCTGGGAGCTGGAGCTTCAGCTTGGCTGGGTCCTTCCTGGGTTTATTTTTGCTCAGGGAACTCAATCATGCATGTGACTGCAGGAGCCAAGAACATTCACTGTGGACACCATTCCTTTCTGCTTTCATGTTTCCTGCCCCTAAATCCTGCCTGCTGTGCCCTGTCAGGGGGTGAGGGGAGCAGCCTTCAGGAGGGCTGGTTCTGTTTGGGTTTGTTTCAGCTGGGACAAGGTTGTGAAAGTGTTTTGCTTCTCTGCCAGGTCCTAAAATGGTGGCTGTTCAGAATTACCATGGAACCCCAGCCCCTCCTGGGAAGCCAGTGCTGACCTTTCAGATTGGGGACGTGATGGAGCTGCTGAGGGGGGACCCCGACTCGCCGTGGTGGGAGGTGAGGGTGATTCCTCTTGGGAAGCTCCTGGAAACTCCTAAACCAGTGACTTCTGCACTGTCCCTTTGATTTTGGGGCTTTCCTGGTGCAGGGGTGTGCTGGGGCTCGGGGGGCAGTTTGGGGCCTGTCCCCACCCCTGCCCAGTGCCCCCAGTGCTGATCCCAGTCTGATGCCCAGCTTGGCTTTGCAGGGGAGGCTGCTGCAGACAAAGAAGTCGGGTTATTTCCCCAGCTCCTCAGTGAAACCCTGCCCCGTGGATGCCAGGGTAAGTGCCAGAGAGGGGATGGAGCTGGGACTGCCAGCTGGGGTTGTCCCTGTCACTCTGCTCAGCCTTCTCCTCGAGACCTCAGTCCTTCCCTGGACCTTCAGTGAGGTGCCCTGCCTCACAGGGGAGGGGGATCCCTCCTGCCATGGTGCAGGTGTCAGGGCAGGGTGGTCCCAACCCTGTTCCCAAGGCTGGGGTTGGCATCATCAGATCCAGCTCTGTTCCTTCTCTGACCCAAGGAGCAGAGTGCTGGAGATCAGGCAGGAAACTGCATTTGGTTTGTTTTAATTGCTTTTAGCTGCTTGCTGTAATGTTGTCAGCTGCTTCCCAATTAAAAACCACTCAGGTAAATGAACCAACACAGCCTGCTCAGCCCAGCTGGGAGCTGAGAGGGAAATGCTCAGCTACAACACTGCCCTCCTCTGCCCAAGCCCAGAATCCGGGGATGGCTTGGCAGAGGGAAGCCTCCTGCGGAGAGGAGCATCCCACACAGCCCGAGGAGCTGCTGGCTCTTTTTTAATGAGCAATTCTCAATTTGCAGCCCCCCAACAGCCGGCCGCCCTCGCGGGAGATCGACTACACAGCGTACCCGTGGTGAGTGGGCACAGACACACCCCAGCCTTGCCTTTTGGGTGCTGCTTGCTCAGGAATCCACTCCAGGAAGGGATTCCACATGCAGAGCTCTGCTTCCAGCTTTCTCTGTGGCCGTGGAGCTGCCTCAGTGGTGGTTGGGGGGTGTTGAAAGCCCTGGCAGCAGCTGTGAGGATTTCTTCACTGGTGGAGGGGGTTAGAGGCAAAAAGAGAGATGCTGGTTTCTCTTCCCATTTTGTGTGCCCAGAAAATGATTGTGGGAGGAAGGAGGTAACTCCTGCCTTGGCAGGAGAGGCTGTGCTTGGCTTGCCTGCTGCTCCTTCTCTCCAGCACCAGCCAGGTTTATGAATTCATGGATATAAATTAGCCCTGCTCTCCAGCTCTCGCTGAGGCCTCATTAACCTGGAGACTGATTCCCAATTAGTGGGTTTTTCCAGGTGTCAGGTACTTCAAAGGGAAGAGGCCACTCTCTGTGTACTTCAGTGGCTCAGCAGCCTCTTGTATATCTCAGGGCACTTCCCTTCCTGCTCAGGATATTCCAGATGTTGCTCCACCTGCCTTCCATCCTTCATGCCTTTAAAAAAGATGTCTCTTTCTATCCAAAACATGCCTGTTCAAGGACACGAGTTGATTTTAATAAATTAAATGGACTAATTAACCTCTGGGCTCAGGTTTGCAGGGAACATGGAGAGGCATCAGACAGACAACCTGCTCAAGTCTCACGTCAGCGGCACCTACTTGATCCGGGAGCGGCCAGCTGAGGCCGAGCGCTTTGCCATCAGCATTAAGTGAGTAACTCCCCACTTAGGAGCTTAATAATTCAATATTTCTTACTCACAGAGGACGAGCCAGGGCTGGAGCCCGTGGCTGTGGGGTTTTTTAAGTGCTTTTGCTGTCGCTGGCAGGTTCAACGAGGAGGTGAAGCACATCAAGGTGGTGGAGAAGGACAACTGGATCCACATCACGGAAGCCAAGAAGTTCGAAAGCTTGCTGGTGGGTTTTTGTTCCCCCTTGTAGCACTCTCTCTGCAAGTCGTGCAGGGGCTGGCAGAGACAGCCAGGTGCTTCTCCTTCCTTCCCAGGAGCTGGTTGAGTACTACCAGAGCCACTCGCTGAAGGAGAGCTTCAAGCAGCTGGACACAACTCTGAAATACCCCTACAAATCCCGGGAGCGCTCTACCTCCAGGACCTTCACCCGCTCCCCAGGTAAAGCCCAGCATGGAAAACCTGCCCCTTCCTGCCAGCTCTAGGAGCAGTGGGTGAAGGAATTGACAGCTTCACTGCAGGCTTTGAGTTGCTCAGTTTGCAGATAAGTCCTTCTGGGCTGGTGGCATTTTCAGGATGGGTCTCGCCGGAGGTGGAGGGGTCTGGCCAAGCTGGGGCTCTCTGGCACTGCTGCTCTCTGAAGGGACAGTTTTTGCTGGTTCCCTTCCTGTGGTTTTTCATCCTGTGGTTTGCCCACGCTCAGGGATGTGATGTTCACTTGGTGGGATTTATCCTGTCTTTCCCACCCATGGGAGATTTTTGTGTTTTAATGGATCCGGTTCCAGTGTGACTTGTGGTGGTTTGAGTCCCAGTGGGCCTCCTTTAATGGAGGTGATGGGTGAAAGGGTAAGTTTGTGTCTAAAAGAAAAAGAAAGGAAAAATCAAAATAAATGGGAAGAAAAAAGTGCAATAATGCAAGATATTGTTTTGTCCAAAAACCTGAGTGCACAACTAACTGCTTTGTGGGGAAAAATAACTTTTAAATATTTTTCTCCATGGTATATTTAGAAAAGAATACCAAAGAAAGACAGGCTTTAAAAGTGGTTTAAATACCTTTTTGCATTAAATACAACCCTAGGATGAATTTGGAGCCCCCAGTGGCTGTGGGGCTGTGGCCAGACCTTTTCTCAGCTGTCCCAGCTTGGAGCCCCTACACAAGACCCTCTGCATGCTTTGCCCTGTATCCCTCCTTCAGCTTTTAAAGCATTGTGCCTTATAATATTTTATTTTAATTTCCTTTTTAATGCGTGTTCTGCCTCTTTCTGTTTCTCTCTAACCTCTTTGCAGCCTCCTGCGCTTCCTACAACTTTTCTTTTCTCAGTCCTCAGGGCCTCAACTTTTCTTCTCAGAGCTCCTCCAGTCCCTTCTGGTCAGGTACCAGTGCCTCTCCCTGCTGGAGAGACCTGCCACCATCCCCAGCTTGAAAGCCATCACCAGTGGCACCTGTGGGGTCCCTCCTGTCCCTCCATCCCCACAGGCAGTTCAGGGGGACCCCAGTGCTGCCCTGGGAAATCAGTTAATTAGGTTAATTAACCATGGCTTGGTTGGCAGCAAAATGCACTCCCCCCTCTCCCCAAATTCAAGGCAAGGAGGAGATGGATTTGTTGCTGTTTGAGAAAAGGGGCTAAAATTAACAAAAAAAAAAAAAAAAGTGGATGTAGCACTTTGGGATCTCATGATGTACTTCAAGCTCGACCTGCTTATCCTGTGTGTGTCATCCTGAGCATCAGCATCTCACCCTGTCCCAGTCTGCCCCTCCTTGTCCTCCAGGAGAGCATCCCAGTGTCCTGCAGGGTTTGAGCTCTGCTCTCTGGGGCTGCTCAGGAGCCCTTGCTGAGGGGACAGGGACACACCTGTGCTGTCAGGGGTGTTTTGGGGCTCAGTGTCCCCACTGAGAGGGCAGTGTCATCCTTTCCAGGCTGGTGTCACCCTCCCTCTTGATGGCATCAGAGCAAAATCCTGCCAGATTTTCCTCCCTTTGAAGTTTTTATCTTTCAGTCTCTCCTTTAGGCTGGACAGAGAAAATCACCAGCAAAGCCACATGTGCCTTCCTTGTTTGGGAAGAACACTGAACTTGTCAAGCACAAATCTGGGTTTTTGAGGTTCTCTGACTGCACAGAAATTACTGCAGGAAGTGATCTGTGTAGCAAGGGGCTCTGAGCAAGCTCCTGATGACAGAGCTCAAAGCTGCCTTGATTGGTGTCCATCCTCCAGCCTGGCTGCCTGGCCAGGACGGACAAACCCCCCAGTGGTTGCACATTGTGTGTCCAACACCATCGCCATCCTCATCTCCTTCCACCCCAAGAGCTGAAAACCTGGGCAAAGCTTTCCCTCAAACTTTGTTCAACCTTGGTTTGCACATTTTTATAGTTGAAATTAACCCTTGGAAATCCTGGGAGAAAGAGGGGAGTGAAGCACAGCATCCCCTCAGAGTGTTTATTTCTTTTTTTGTGAACTTCAGAGGATGTGCATTTTTCTCCTCCTCTGCCCATCCCATCCCTCCACTGTGGTTCTCCAGCCTTTTTTCTTGTGCCCAGATTTTGGGGCAGGAATGCTGAGTGCTGCCCCTGCCTTCCCCCTCCTTGTGCTTCCCCTGAGCATCCCCTGCCTGAAGTGATGGAGATCCCTGGGGCTGGGGCTGTGCTGGTGCAGCTCAGCTCCTGGGATGGCTCCTGGGGTCATCTCCTCATCCCAAGGTGCTGCTCAGTGTCAGGGTTTGGCACCATTTGGTCTCTCATGGGGCCAGGTTGCCAAGGTTTCTCCCTGGCAGGGACAGGAGCAGGGAGGTTCCAGGTTAGGAGCTGGTTCCTCCTCATGGCAAAGCACACAGGATACACTCAACACCTTTAGGAGAACCCATTCCCAGCAACTCTGGTTTTGAAGGAGCTTAAATCCAAGTTGATTTACAAAAGTGGTTCCATCAGGCGCTGGGAGCTGGGTGGCAGCTCCACAAGGCAAATCTCCCAGACCTGACACTGAGAGCTGAACAGGATTTTCCCATGATGTCTTTGTTAATAACTGTGTATTCCTATGAAATCCTTCCTTCTACCACCTCCAAATAGTGCCCTTCACCCCAGTGACCCCCACCCCACCCCTGACCAGCAGCGAGGAGCTCCCCAAGCCCACAGAACCCTTCAAACCCAGCAGGAACCCCGACCACCCCACCCGCGCGGGGCTGAGCAGCTCGGCTGATGCCGCCCCTCCATCCGAGCAGCTCCAGCTCTTGGTGCCACGCTGAAAAACCCAGGTTGAACCCATCCAAGCTTTCCCCAGGCTTCAGCCAGCGTGGGGGCAGGCGCTGAGGCGCTGTGCTTTGTCCCCTGGCAGTGTTCACCCCCCGGGTCATAGGCACGGCCGTGGCACGGTACAACTTCGCGGCGCGGGACATGCGCGAGCTGTCGCTGCGGGAGGGGGACGTGGTGAAGATCTACAGCAGGATTGGAGGGGACCAGGGATGGTGGAAAGGGGAGACCAACGGAAGGGTGAGTGCCTCCAGGGGGATTCCTGCCCCATTCCTGCAGCGGGATGTCCTCCCTGCTGTCAGGATGGTGAAGGGAAGGGGGTGTGTCCCGTGTCCTGCTTTTTCCTGGGTTCTGGGTGGGATGTCACCTCGTGAGAGCCACCTCTGTGTGGCCATTGGGTGCTTTGTGACACTGGCAGTGATATCCAGGGCACACAGGTGCGTGGGAGCACGTGGTGTGAGGGTCTGATCTTCCCTAAACCTGCCCGTGGAGGATGTCTGCAGGCCCTGCAGGGCTCAGCAGCCTGGGAAAACCACAGCCTGGAGGCTTGGCCTGGTGTCCCACAGATTCTGCAGCACTGGAGGCAGATTCTTCCTGCAGACAGATTCACCCTTCCAGGGTGATGTACTCCATCCCAAATTAGGGTGATTAGGGCTCACACCATCAGGATCTAGCACATCCAGGACTGGCAACAGGACAGGAGCTCCCTTAAATAAACAGAGCTGGAAGGGCCCTGCAATGATCACGGTGTCAACTCCTGGCCCTGCACAGGACACAACCCCACCCTGTCCCTGAGTTCTCCAAATCCTTGAGCTCCAGCAAGCTTTGTGCTGTTCCCCTTGAGCTCCCCAGCTCACCTGTCCTGTCCTGTCCCCCCACAGGTGGGCTGGTTTCCCTCGACCTACGTGGAGGAGGAGGGCGTGCAGTGAGCGCGGCCGCGGCCGCTGGAAGTCGTCGAGTGCCCGGAGCCAGCAGCTGCAGCCTGAGCACACTGTCCCCGTGCTGGACACCTCCCAGGACTGCCCCTGCAGCCCCTCACGACCCCCCCTGCGTGCAGGCTGCCCCGGCCTGGCCCCTGCTCCGTGTACAGAAGATTGCTGGGCTGTGGGATGGCGCCGGTGGAGAGCCCCGGGAGAGCCGCGCTCTCCCCGATGGACAGAGCTCAGAGACTCTGGGTGCCCAGCAGGGCCTGGGCACTGCACCCCTCTTGTGCCAGGGGGTTTTAACAGCCACCCTGGGGATGCTGGAGGGAGGCTGAGGCAGGTTTTGTGCCTGGGTGAGAATTTGGGGAGGGGGTCCAGGGGAGGGAGCCCCAAGGAGGCAATGCAGACCCCCTGCCACACCACTCACGGGGTTCCCAGGTCAGGATTTTGGCAGTGGCCCTGGCAGCCATGGGCAGCACTGTGCTGTGGCCAGGGTGAGGGGCAGGGTGGGCACACCTGGCCCAGAAGGAGGAGAGGGCTGTGACCATTTTGACCCTCAGGTGTGGGCTGGAAGTGGACCTCCAGGTCAGCCAGGAGGGCAAAAAGCCATTTTGGCACCCCGAGCCCATTTTCTTTGCAGTCACCTCAGTCCCACCAGCCTTGCTGCAGGCAGGGGGGTGCCCAGAGAGCTGACTGGTCCCACTGGTGAGCAGGAGGTCTCAGTGCATTGCAGATGTGCTCCACACAAGGGTTTCAGAGGCCACCAAGGCACCAGGTCCATGCAGAGGACGTGTCCCTGGGTCTGTCCTCCCCAAGCCAGGCTGATTTTCCTTGCAGCTGTGACAATTCCCACCTCGTGAGCTCAGGGTGAACCCACCTGAATAAGGGCTACGCTATCAAGTCCTGAATCCTGTCCCTGAGCTGTGAAAGCATCTCCTCTTCCCAGCTGTGTGCACTTTTGGGGGCTGGCAGCATTGCCCCTGCTCTTCCTCCCACAGGCTGTTCCTGCTGCTGCTGTCAAGTAAAGGTCCTTGTGTTGTGACATTCCCACTGTGTCCTGAGCACCCTCTGTCCTTCCCAAAGTGCAAATACAAACAAAATACACGTGTGGGAGCGTGGCAGGGAACAGCTTCCCTGTGTCTGAGCCCCAGGAGCTGCCTCTCTGAATTCGTGGCATTTTGAGCTGGTGCTTCCATGCCCTGATGTTGTTCCCCTGGGATTTGGGGTGTTCCTGCTGTGGGATCCTGCTGCAAGTCTGAGAGATGCCAGTTTTGGCTGGGTGAGCAGTGCTGCTGGTATGGGGGTCTGCAAACAGAGCAGCAGAACCACGTTTGGGGTAAGAAATGGAAGAGTTTGGATCTCTCAAGGATGAGGAAATGATGCTGACTTGGGAATTCCATGCTGCTGCTCAGTGAGAAGCCCAGAGCCACCCTGCTTTGCTCCTGGAGCTCTGGGAGTGTGAGGTGTGTGCAGCAGGAGGTGACAGGGACAAGGGGGGCTCAGGGCATTCCCAAGGTACTGTTTGGTGCTAACCCCTCCCAGGCAGCCCCTCCATGGCCAGCTTGAGGGGGGCAGCCAGCAGGGAGCTGGCAATTCCCTCCTGTGCAGAGCAGAGGGTGCCACTGTCCCCTTGTCCCATTGCAGAGGCTGTGCTGGAGCTGAGGGGACAATTTGGGTGGGTGGGACACACAAACTCCTGCTGGCTCCTGTTCTGCCTCACATCCTAAAGCCTTACAGCCCCTCCTGTTGAACGTGGCCAAGTCTGTAAGGTGGCAAGGGCATCACCTGGGGAGAGCACAGCCCTGCCACAGGGACCAGGCCACCTGTGTCCCCCAAAGGGACCCCCACCCTCTGCCTGCCCTGCCAAACCCCCCCAGCCCCTGAGAGCTCTCCCTCTTGTGTTTACTGGTGTAAGAAACTTGTTAAAAAAAAAAAAGAGATTGTTCTGTTTGTAAGTAATTATTCAGCCATTTGCCACAAATATATCTGTGAATAAGAAAGGGAAATGTTTTTTTATGATGGCGAGAAAATTGGATGTATTATTTTAGGTCGTCGCAGATCGTTCGGAATTGCAATGGGATATGTTGGAAAATAATATGTAAATTCCTTGGGTTTTTCCTTTGCACTGCACTAACTGGGCTAGGGTGGAGGGGGTTTAAAGATAAAACTGTTTGTTTAATGGAATAGTTTATAGCTGGGAATTTGGAAATCATTTGGAATAGCTTGTAATGCTGGAATAGAAACTTTAGCTGCTACTTAGAAACCCTTTTGCATGTGGTTTTTCCAGGCCTTTTTTAAGTTACAACTCATCAAAGTAAATTCCCCAACGGAGAAAAAAAAATCCCAAAAATAAAGTGTAATTTTGCTGATAGGTTTTTTTTTTCCAGCCATGGTTTTTAATGTGCCAGGGGTGTCAGGGTCGTTGTCACTAAAACCCCCTTGGCTGCACTGGGGCTCACGGGTGGGCTTGGCCCATCCAGGGAGGATGGCTGCTCCCAGGGATGGATCCTTCCCAATTCCTGGCATGAACAGTAAGTGCTTTTACCCCTCCAAAATTTGGAGTAGATCCCTCCTGTGGTGCCTGTCAGGCTCCTCATTCCTGGAGCAGCTGCCACTCGTGCAGTTGTCCCATCCAGGAGCTTTCCTGGGACTCCTTTTCTGAGCTGAACCCCTGCAGAGTGGAGGAAAGGCTGATTTTCCATGGCTTTTAGTCACTCCTCGATATCATATTCCAGAATCCCACCTGGCCCTGCAGGCAGCAGCATGTTCCAGAGCAGTAAATAAGCTGCAGAGCTGCTTATAAAAACCTGAGGTGTTCGAGAGGCCTCACCTTGAGCAGGGATGGGATGTCCCTGTGACATGTCCCTCCTGCCATGTAATTTCATTAAGAAGATTCATTTTCCCCACCCTTGGAGTCCCCAGTGCTTCCCTTTTCCCGGGGTCAGCTGGGAGGGGCTGTAGCAGTGAGCAGAGGGGTTTTACTCGGACAATCAGGGCTAAATTTTGGAAGCTGGTTTTGGAAGGTGCTGCCCAGCCAGGTGTTAAGCCTTGGTCCAGGTGCTGACCCTGCATGGGAAAAGCCCTTTCCTCGTGGCTGTTTGGTCTATTTTAGTGGAGAATCTCCAACATTCACCACTAAAATACCAGATTTAGGTGCCTGGTGCCTCCGCTGCTGCTGCTGAGGCCCAGCCTGGCCCTGGGTGGGTGAATGGCACAGCTGGGCTGCCAAAAGCAGCACTGGAGCCTGCAACCCAAAAAGGCAGTGCAAAAATCTGTTCCCATTCTGTCCAGCCTCTGGGGACATCCCTGCCAGCCTGGGGCTGGGGACACTGAGCCCCTGGGGAGTGGCTGGAGCTGGCAGGTGGGTGCTTCCACAGTGGCTTCATGCCAAAATCTGCTCCTGGGGGTTGCTGCAGTGCAGGGTCTGACACTCAGGAGTGAATGGGGCATTGATGCAGCGTGCCCAGCCAGGGCCAGGTGCAGTAACCAGAGCAGGAGCAGCGTTCAGGGGCATTAACAGCAGAATGAATTCCAGCCAGCACAGCCGGTTCCATCCTGCACAGCCCCTGGCCTGTCCCAGGAGCAGGGGACACGCCAGGCACGGGGTTTTATTTATTATTCTCATTTTTTCCCCCAGATAGAGCAGCTGCTGATGAAATCTGTGCCATGAGCAGGGCTTTGAGCAAACACAGCCTGGGGGTTGCTGGCTGCCCTGTGCCAGCAGCAGCTCCTGCTCCTGTCACAGTGTGACAGCCACGGATCCTGGCCCTGGCACTGCCCTCCAGCCCCTGTGAGCTCACCAGCCCAGCCCAGAGCACCCCAAAACCATGGCCCAAACTGCTGTGCCTCCAGGGTGGGGAAACTGAGGCAGGGGGAGGCCAGGAGGAGAGCTCAGCACAGCAGCACTCTGGGATTGGGGTGATTGTGGCTCAGGGTCAGGTGCTGGTGGTGCTCCCCAAGCCCAAAGTGAGGTTGTGGGGCAGAGCTGAGCCCGCAGCTCTGCTGAGGATGAGGATTGGGGTGGCAGAGGCAGTGTTGACAGTGTGCAGCACGCCTGGCTGCCCCAGCCCTGCATTCACCACGTTTTCTGTGACCTAGAAAACTCCAGCTGGCGCCTGAGCCGCTGCGCTGCTTTAATTTAGAATTAACCTAAAAATTATAGGGGGAGGTTGAACTGTGTAGGCTCCCTCTGCACTGCACTGATCACCCCAAAAATTAACCCTCTCATTCCTGCTCTGGAGTCACATCAGGGCTGCAGGAGCTGCCACTTTGCCCACTGTCCATCCTGAGCTTGGTGAAAGGCTCAGGCTGCTGAAGTGGACTTGGTTTTGTATTGTTCTAGGTCTGGTCTAACCCAAAGGTCATATTTATAAATTTGGACACGCTGATGAAATGGTTCTGGCCTGTCAAACAGAAACACCCCACTGCAAACAGGAGTTTAGACTTGTTTGCAGCCCTGTGGTTGTTCTGAGCAATTTAGTCCAAGGAGAAGCCTGCAGGAACTGGGGCTCTCTCTGTGAAACTGAGAAACTGGTTTTGTCTTTGGGAGAAGGAGGGGAAATGCTGCTGGAGACAGGGGATAAAGCTGGAATAAGGGAACCCCCTGGCTCCTGTTCAAACCCTTCCCAGGCTGGGGCAGTTTGGATGCACACTGGGTACCACAGGCTGTCCAGCAGGCACGAGCAGAGGGGTTGGGTGCTGAGGAGCAGAAAAGGGGCATTCCACTTCAGCTGGATGCTTAAAACCCCCCCAAAATCCATCCCATGGCTGCTCAGAGCTCTGCAGGGGTGGGAGATGCTGCCTGGGGGACCATGGTGCTGCTGGGACCCCAATCCCTCCCAACCACCAGCCAAACCCTGACTCCACCCCGACTTCTGCCTCTCTGAGATACCAGCACGAGGCCCTGCAGCAGAACTTCTGTGTCCTGCCCAAACAGGCCCTAATTCCAGGGCTGAAGGAACAACAAACTTTCAGGTTTACAGATCAAAATCCAGCCCTTTTTTTTTCCTACCCAACTCCAATTTAATTTTTTTTTTTTTTTTTTGGTGTTGCCACCTCTACTTTGAGCTCTCGGGTCTGGCTTGGGAGGGGTGTAAATGAATTTTATCTCTGTTCTTTGACTGGAGCCACTGGGAACTGCAGCAGGGGGGTCAGATGGTGCCTTTCCTCACCGTGTTTGCTCTCTGGCATCCAGCTGACAGCTCCAGCCAGCCTGAGAGGCTGCGAGTCCCTCTGGCCCCAGCTGGGTGTTTGTTCTCTGCTGGGCACTGAGCCGGGGAGAAAAGCAGCATTTTCCTCCCTATTTTTAATTTCTCCGCTCTGCCAGACTTTTTGTCTTGCCTGGGAAGCAGCAGAGCCACGAGGAGGGGGACAAGGAGGTAAGTCCCTCTTTTCTCTTGGCTCAGGCTGGCTCTGCTCGCCTCCAAGTGCTGGTTAATGTTTTTTGCAGCAGGGGCCAAGGGGACGGAAGAGGAGGAGGAGGAGGAGAGCATCAGAGGAAGGCAGGGGCCCCACCACATCCCGGCAGAGGAAAGGCAGCCCGGAGAGAGCCTCGTGGTGAGTGGTGCCGTGGGCTGTCACCAAGGGGGAGTCTGGAGCTTGGGGGGACACTAGGGGACAGTGGGTGCTCTGGTGGCCACGTGGCAGCAAGCAGGGGGTCCCAGAGGGGGGATCACACCCTGGTCGTGGCCTGTGGCTTGTGTAGGGGGGTCTGTGTTGGCCCCACTGCACCCCAAAATCTTGTTCCAGCAGCAAATCCCCAGCCAGGAGCTGCACTGGGGTTGCAGTGTCCACAGGCAGGACCTGTCCCCATTTCTCCCCCAGCAGCCACTGCCCCACCCTCTGATGCAGAGCAAACCTGGCACCTTCTCTGTGGCCAAAAAAAAAGTGATTTTTGAGGCATGAGCGAGCACAGGCTGCCGTGCCCTGTGGGAATTCCCAATCCCCTTTTTTTTAAGGGAGGGTGTTTGGAAGCTGCAGCTGGGATCCCAAATCCTGCTGCAAAGGATCCCCCAGCAGCTGGGAAGGGATGCCAGGATGTGCCCAGGGCTCACCAAACCTCTGCCCATCACCCAGAGAGGTGAGCAGAGGGCAGCCAGGGATGCAGCGAGGCTCTTTGGGATGTGCAGGTGGACATGTCCTACCTGAGCCGGGTCCCCCGCCGCCTGCCAGCCCCCTGGAGAAGCCCCCGGCCCTTCAGCAGCTCCTCGGGCCCCACGGCCAAGAAGAGCGTCCCGTACCAGAAGACGCTGCAGGAGGAGGGGGCCGGGGGCGGGCAGCCCAGCCGCCCCCCGCCCGCCTCGGCGCAGGTGGTGGTGGTGGGAGGGGGCAGCCTGGGCTGCCAGACCACCTACCACCTGGCCAAAATGGGGCTGAGTGACGTGCTGCTGCTCGAGAGGGACCGCCTGACCTCGGGCACCACCTGGCACACGGCGGGTGAGCGGCGGGGAGGGATGCTCGAGGGTTTGGGATGCGCTGGGGGAGGGGTTTGGCCTGTAAATGCTGAGAATTTGGGGTTTTCCTTCTGTAATGTTTTTTTAAAAAGTCCCCCAAATTTGCGTTTTTTCGCCCCCAAGGTTTATGTGGCTGCAGGAAGAGGAAACACTTTATTTCCAGTTTCCACCCCTTTTTAAAAGCCACCTTTCTATGGCAGGGAAGGCTGAGCTATATAAGCTTTTTCTCTATTTTTTTCCCACACTTTTGTGGCCCATCCACTCCATACCCTCTTTCCCCCATCCATTTAACTCCCGAAGAGAACAAAACCCGATGGTTTGCAGCATTCCCGCAAATCCACGAGATGGAGCACGAGCCCCGCAGGATGACACAGGACACAGGGGGACCCCGGCAGGGTGACACAGGACACAGAGGGACCCTGTAGGGTGACACAGGACAGAGGGGGGACCCCGGCAGGGTGACACAGGGGGGACCCCACAGGGTGACACAGGACACAGGGGGACCCCGGCAGGGTGACACAGGACAGAGGGGGGACCCTGCAGGGTGACACAGGACACAGGGGGACCCCGCGGGGTGACACAGGACACAGAGGGACCCTGTAGGGTGACACAGGACACAGGGGGACCCCGCGGGGTGACACAGGACACAGAGGGACCCTGTAGGGTGACACAGGACACACGGGGGACCCCGGCAGGGTGACACAGGGGGGACCCCACAGGGTGACACAGGACACAGGGGGACCCCGGCAGGGTGACACAGGACAGAGGGGGGACCCTGCAGGGTGACACAGGACACACGGGGACCCTGTAGGGTGACACAGGACACACGGGGACCCCTCCCCTGCATCCCGCCCCGGGTGATGGGGAGGTGACAGAGCATCTGTGGCACCCTGTGCGTGTCCCCCGCAGGGCTCCTGTGGCAGCTGCGTCCCAGCGATGTGGAGGTGGAGCTGCTGGCACACACGCGGGATGTGGTCAGCCGGGATCTGCCGGCAGAGACCGGGCTGCACACGGGCTGGGTGGAGAACGGGGGGCTCTTCATCGCCTCCAACAAGCAGCGCCTGGATGAGTACAAAAGGCTCATGTCGGTAGGAAGGAGCCCCGGGGTGTGTCCCCCTTGCGGGGTGGGCTGCAGGAGGGGGTTGTTGTGGTCTCTGAATGTTCCATCCCTCACCTGCTTTCCCACCTGCACAGCAGGTCCCTTCCAGGGCAGACTGCTGACTTGAAGAAGACAGCCAAAATCTGTCAAATTCCTCCAAATCTGGCAAAATGAAATCCAGCCTCGGATTTTTGGCTGTTTAAATAGCGGTAGCATCGTTTTCCCCGTTGTGCAGCATCATTTTTCCAGCTTCAGTTTAAAAACAGGGTCATAGTCCCTGAAATCTGAGCATCACCCCATACTGGATTTAGGGTTTGGGAGACAAACACGTCCTGGGATTCTCCTCCTCCTCCTCCTTCAGCAGCAAGTGGTGAACAAAGCTTTTGTTCCCTACTGAGCTCTGGGTTTTTCCGTCCCCTGGCAGCTGGGGAAGGTGTATGGTGTGGAGTCCCACGTGCTGACCCCGGCCCAGACCAAGGACCTGTACCCTCTGATGAACGTTGATGACCTGTATGGCACCCTGTACGTCCCCAAGGATGGCACCATGGACCCTGCTGGCACCTGCTCAACTCTGGCCAGAGCAGCGACTGCCAGAGGCGCTACGGTAGTTCTTAATTACTAATTTACTCATTAGTGCTTCTTGGTTTCATCCTCTGCCTTCCTCACCTTCTGCTTTCCCACTGGGGCAGAGCTGCTCCTGCAGATTTGGGTCATTCCCAAGGAGGGTGTTCTCTGGTTTGGGTGACAGTGACAAAGCTGGCAGGAACCATGAGATCCAGGGAAAACAGGGAGTGGAAAAAAGATCTTTAGGAGCAAGACAAGGCACTCAGAACTCTGCTTAGGTTCCCTGTTCCCAGATTTGGGGGCTGCATGTCAGGTGAGGCAGGTTGTCCCCCTGCCCTGGTGACCCTGCTGTGACTCTGCCCCCCCTTCCTGTGCCACCAGATCATCGAGAACTGCCCGGTCACGGGCATCCAGGTGAGAACTGATGATTTCGGGGTCAAGAGAGTGCATGCAGTGGAGACAGCCCACGGGACCATCCAGACTCCCTGCGTGGTGAACTGTGCAGGTACGGGGTGCAGAGCACAGGGCCAGGGGTGGCACAGGGACAGCGGCCACAACTCACGGCTGGCTTTGCTCGCGTGAGGGGGAAAATCTGCCCTCGTCCCTTGTATAGCTGTCCCCTGCAGCTGCCTGGGGGTGCAGAGGAGCTCAGCACGGGGCTGTTGTCTCTGCAGGAGTGTGGGCGCGGGCGCTGGGCCGGCTGGCGGGCGTGCGCGTGCCGCTGGTGGCGATGCACCACGCCTACGTGGTGACCGAGCGCATCGAGGGCATCCAGGTCAGTCCTGCCCCACGCCTCGGCTCCTCCGCGCTGGGGGACAGGGCTGGAGAGGCAGACAGAGCCCTGCCCCTTCCAGGGACCCCCAGAGCTGTGGGACCCCCTGATTCCTGCCAGGTCAGGCTCTGCTCTCAGCAGTGCACACCCTCAGCAGGGCTGTCAGAGCACCTTGAACAGAGCCAGATTTAATATTTAACGAAGTTACAACTGGCAGGATGGTATTTTTCCCCTCAAGATCTCTGTGTTTGGTGTCTGATAGCAGCATTCATAAAGATCCCAGACTCTCTGAGCAAGGCCCAGACCTGTCAGGCAGAGGTGTAGCTCTCCAAGCTTCTCTAGACTGCCTCTATAAATCTGTTCCTGCCATCTGGCTGCGGAGAATTGCTTGGGAGTTGAAGGACCCTTCATCCTCTCATGCCCACTGCATTGAGGGTGACACATTAATTAGTTTCCATCCTGCTGACACAGTCTGTGCCTGCCCTTTCAGCACCAGGTGCCTGGTTGTGAAAAGTGCTGTGGTCCATGGTTACATTTCTGTCCCAGTGACTCCACCGTGCCCTACGCAGCAAGAAAGGCTCCAGAGGAGAGGCTGCAGCTCACAGACCTCGGCGCCTCCTGCTCAATCCACTTAATTCCCCTTGTCAACACGGCTTGCAGTAGGCCCTACACTGATTCTTCAGTGTTATCTAAATGTTTCCCCATCCATTATTCACAAGAACAAATCCCTCATTCTTCGCGCACCGCTGCCTGCGCCTTGAGCTGCTGCATCCTCCTGCGGAGGCGGGTGGCAGAGGAGTGATGATTGCTGAGCTAGGATCAACCACAGGGGCTGCTCCCCGTCCCCAGGGCACCCCTGGGTGCTGCTCGGGTGTCTGTGTAAGCTGCTCTGCCCGTGCTCTGGCCAGGTTAGCTGGAGCTGAGCTGGCTGCTTTCCTCTTGGGGTGCCCAGATTTCGGTGTTGAGGGAGCACCCACGGTGCCATCGTGTCCCATCCTTGACAGGTGGCTGCTGCAGGTGCCCACCTTGTGCCCTGGACCTTGCTGGGTGCCACAGGGGTGTCCCCGTGGCTCTTGGCCTCCTCTGACCCCTGCACTCCCCCTGCCCGTGTTTCAGAACATGCCAAACGTTCGCGATCACGACGCCTCGGTCTATCTGCGTCTCCAAGGCGATGCCCTCTCCGTGGGTGGATATGAGTCAAACCCCATCTTCTGGGAGGAGGTGAGTGGAGCCGGGAGGTTTTCTGGGGGAACGAGGCAGATTTCCAGGCAGGTTTCCCCACCTCCAGGCGTGGGCGCAGGCACAGCCCCCGAATTCTGCAGGCACCAACCTCTGGTGGCTGGTGGGGAGAGCAGGGGGAGCATCTCCCCTTTGGGGCTGCCTGTGGCACAGATATGCAGTGCAGAGGCAACAGCAGAGCCAGAAGCTGCTGTGCCCATCCCTCTATCCTTAATTTAGACCACAGGTTTGTCTGGGTTGCTCAAGAAAACCCCAAAATCCCAGAGATTTAATGCAGCCTCAATTTATGTTCTCCGAGGCTGACAGAGATGAGGTGGTCTCACACAATCCTCTGTTCTGTGCCCTGATTCTTGTTTCTCCTCTTTAGGTATCTGAAAAATTTGCTTTTGGCCTCTTTGACCTGGACTGGGATGTTTTCATGCAACACATTGAAGGTGCTGTCAACAGAGTGCCAGTTCTGGAGAAAACAGGAATTAAATCCACTGTCTGTGGGCCAGGTAATGTGGCTGTGGTGACCACTGTGGTGGCACCGTGGTGGCTGTGGTGACCACTGTGGTGGCTGGGTTTTTCTGAAGATTTTGCTGGAGGAAAAGGGAAACTTTATAACCTGAGGAGAAAAAAAATATCTCTCTGAGTGCAGAGAAAGTGCTGCTGGTCTGGCTGCAGTGGTGGCATCTTCCAAGGGGTGGCATTCCAGGCCTAGCCTGGGTGGAGAAATAGAATCACACATTCAGAGATTCACAGAATGGTTTGGCTTGGAAGGGATCTTCAAAGATTATCTAATTCCAGCTCCACTGCCATGGGCAGGGACACCTTTCACCATCCCAGGCTGTTCCAAGCCCCATCCAACCTGGCCTTGAACACCTCCAGGGATGGGGCAGCCACAGCCTCTCTGGGCACCCTGTGCCAGGGCCTCCCCACCCTTGTTGTAAATAACTTCTATCTTAGAATTTCTTTTAATCTTCTCAATTTCTTATCATCTCAATTGTCCCTCTTTCTGTTTAAAACCATTTCCCTGGGGAGCTGACTGCCTTGATTTAGTTTGGTAGTGAATGGATCTCCAGTTGATGTTGTGGCTGCTGGACTGGAAAATTAAGGAGCAGATGTTTTTAAGCAGTGGCTGTTATGTTACCAAGTGTTATCTTCTGTAATTATTTCTACTACTTTCTCCTGGTCTAGTGAGGTTAGACTTACCCAGATTTACATCCCTGGTGTGGAGTTAAAGCCATCCCTGCAGTGGCAGCTGGAGGTGGTGCCAGACATTGAGCTCGAGACTTGCACACTTGGTTTGCCCTTAAAATCCACTACACACTAAGAAATCAACTATGATAAAAGTCCTTTTTGCTGAGGCACTTAAAGGGAAACTCTTTGGGTTGTGTGAGGGGAAAGTAGGGCATGTCTGGTGCCCTGCAGCACATCAAACATGATTTGTACGAGGTGGAGACCTTGGCCCTGGGTCCAGTGGTTTGATTGCACTGTGAGCAGAGCGGAACTGGCTGCTGGTGGGTGAATGTCTCCTCTTTGTCGTGCAATAATGTCATTTTCCAAGGCTCAGCTCTCCTCCTTTTCTCCTTCATGACTGAAACCAGCAGCCTGTGGCAGCTGAGTCATGCTGGGCTGATCAAATGGCAAAGGCCTTGTCCCCTCTGCTGTGGTCACTGTGCCAAGGTCCCTGGAGCCCTCCCCACCCGTCCAGGGCAAAGTCAGCTCTGCTGGCAGGGAATGTGCTTTGCCTGTTGCTCCATTAACTCCCTGAGTTTGTAGCCTGGAATAGCTGTACAGGGATATTGGCATGTGAGGAGCTGCTCTGGTGGCAGTGCAAATATTCCTGCTCTGCTCCTGCCTCCTCTGGAGCAGTGGGATCAGGGGAAACAAAGTGGGCATTGCTAAGTGGGGAAAACCCACTCTGAACTCAGTTTTCCCTCTCTCCTTTTCCATGGATGGATGGATGCACCACCCAACAGGGAGGAGAATTGCACACCTCTGTCAGGGGCTTTGCTGTCCTCCCTGGTGAGGATTTATAGAGGGATTTCCATGGCTGATGGCCCAGTAGAATAGCACTGGCAGCAGGAGACATTATGAGCACAGGAGAGACATCCCCAGCTGAACCAAGTGGCTCAAAGTTATGGAATTTCCCAGCAGGAATTGACAAAGGTGGAATACACAGGGTCCAGATGTTGAAATGGCAACAAACAGATCAGTGCAGCCCCCTTGGCTGGGGGATTGGGAAGGAAAAAAGAGCCCTCACAGTGCCTCGTTCACCTTCTCTTGGGGAATTCATTTTGCTTCCCAAATTTTCAGTCTAACTCCAAAAATCTGTGCTTGGTGTTGGCCCAGTTCTGGCCCCACTGATGTCTCTGGCAGCAGGATGAGCTCAGCACAGGAGGCTGCAGGAAACCTGTTTGTAAAGTGTGTGACATGTCCCTAAAGTGTGTGATCCCCCTGTCCTGGCCTCGCTGGCACACCCCCTCCCTGTTTTCCAGAGTCATTCACAGCTGACCACAAACCACTGATGGGAGAAGCTCCAGAAGTCCGAGGCTTCTTCCTCGGCTGTGGCTTCAACAGCGCCGGTAAGAGAGGCCTGAGGGGGCAACACCCTGCGGGCATGGGATCCCAGGGGCATCCTGGCATTCCCCAGCCCTGCTTGGCCTCCTGGCCCCGTCTGCATCCCGCCCTGTTCCCCAGGGATGATGCTGGGAGGTGGCTGTGGCAGGGAATTGGCTCACTGGATCATCCACGGCCGCCCAGAGAAGGACATGTACGGCTACGACATCAGGCAAGTCACCCAGCTGCCCCCATGGGCACCCCTCATCCCTGCTGGCCCTTGGGGATGCCAAGGCAGGGCTGCCATCAGGAATGGGTGTCCAGGCAGCGTGTGTGTCCCTCCAAGGAGCTGGAATCAATTAGAGGCTGTGGCTTTAATGAATGCACACGTGGGGTTCATCTCATTCCACTCCCACACAAACAGCTTCCATCAGGCACAAGGAGATCGTGGTGGTGGGGAAGGATGGGGTAATTATGTTTGGGTTTTGTTGTTCAATTAGAGCCGTGCCTAATCCTCTAAGTTAATAATCAGGGGGATGATTTCAGCAGCACAAAGATTAGCTCAGCCCCCCCCTGCAGCACTGCCCGGGCAGGGAGTTGTGACCATGCAGATGTTGGCTCAGTAATTGCTTTTGACTTGCTTGATTGTCTTTGATTGGGTTTGGGCTTTCTTACAGGGCTGTAGTGACAGCAACCACCTTGTCAGGGACAAAGCTGTGAAAGCCTCACGTTGCTTTAGTGGCCAAGCTGGTAAAGGCACCTTGGCTTGGGCTGTGAGGGGCCTGCAGAGATGGGGGAGATGCCTCCAGCTGCCCCTTCCACCAGCTGGGCTCGGGATGGGGATGGGGAGATGGAGAAATCCCAGGCTGGGCACTGGGTTGGCACCAGCACAGCCCCCCTGACCCCAAGGGACCCCAGCCCTGCTCAGAGGAGCCAGGGGCTTTCCACCCACACATCTCCCATCTCCCATGTCCCATGTCATCAAGCTGTCAGTCCCATTCCTTCCCTTTGGTGACAATTACCAAGCTCCTCTTTAAATAACTCCCTTTTCCACACATTTCAATATTTATCCTCTCAGAACATTTGCTTGTAAATATTTCATCTGGCAGCTGTTGCCCGCTTGCTGCTGTCAAAAATTCAGCTCGTTGGTGAAGGGGCTGAGGCTGATGGGGCAACCAGGGGTGCTGGTGACATGCCATGTGTCACCTTGTGCCAGCAGAAGAGGCAGCTGCTCTCACAGCTCTTGGGGAGCATCGCTTGTATTCCTTGCAGGGCTCAGCCCCATGCCTTGCCTCTCCTCTGCACCCAGTGAGCCAGGAGGGAAGCTGAAAGCATCATTTTAAAAGTCCCTAAAAATGGAATTTTGTCCTTCATGCCCAGCCTGGCTCCCTTTCTGCAGCCCTGGGAAAGGTGCCACTTGTGCCCAAGGCTGCTCCCCGTGAGTTGCAGGTCTCTGGGATTAACAACCTGACTGTGGGCTGAGCTAGCACATTCCTTCAAGGAGATTTTCTCTTTGAAAGATGGAAATACTTCAAATGAATTGAAGATATTTTGGGTTTTATTTATATTTCAGCCTGGGGAGAATTGGGTGAAAAATATAAGGAATGTCCAGGACTCACTCCCTCATCAGGGCTGTGTTTAACTGGGGCAGAATGTTGAAGTGCAGCAGAATTAACCTCAAATTTCGTTTTTTCCTATTTCCCCCCCTCAGCAGGGCTGTTTTCTGCTCTCACTGGCTCTGGAGTGGGGCAGCTCCAATGGTCAGCACCGTGGCATGGCCAGCACCGAGCCCTGCTTGCCTCCTCTACTCCTGCCCACAAAACTGGAGCAGGAATAACAATTTTACACCAGCATCTGCATCCACCCACCCCTAGCTCTGGTCCAGAAGTCCCTGAGCTGGTGGGCTCATCCAGATGTTGCCATCTCCTTGCCTTCCAGGAGGTTTCACCACTCCCTGACCGACAACAACCGCTGGATGCGGGAGCGCAGCCACGAGTCCTACGCCAAGAACTATTCCGTGGTCTTCCCCCACGACGAGCCCCTGGCGGGACGCAACATGAGGAAGGATCCCCTGCACGAGGTGAGGACACGGCCTGGGCAGGCCCTCGCAGCAGCAAAAAGGAGCTCACGAGGAGTGGCTGCGGCTGTGTCGTTCCCCAAAGCTTTTGTGGTGCCATTTATCCATCCTGGGAGATCCCTGCTGGATCCCAAAGCTCACTGTGAGGGCTCTGGGGCCATGGGTGGTTTAGTGGTTTAATGGTAGAGAGCCTGAGCATTGCCATATTTAACTCAGCAGATGTGGATTAAGAACCTGGTGATGATCACTGGGCAAGGGAAGAGGGGAGAGGAGAGCTCCGAGGCTGAGTCCATCCCAGAGGAGATGGAAAGGCTGAGGGTGCTGAATGCTCACAGGAACCTCCTGCCCCTGCTCACCGTGTCCTGCTCACAATTTAGCAGCAGTTTCTCCCCAAAACAGCATCTCTCATCATGGAATGAGGCTGGGCACAAGGGAAGAGGGATGTGCCTCTGTGGAGGTGGTTTTGCCAGCACCCCCTAAGTGGTTTTGCTCCCTGGAGCCACCAGCCAGGGCTCCCTCCTGCTCCTGCCCCTTCTTCACACAAATATCCACAGGTGACCACTCTCAAGATGCAGCACTTGAGACAAAACCCCAATTCCCAGCATTTTGCTGCACCAGCAGCTCAGAACCCCCCAAATCCCTGGAGACACTCAGCTTGACTCAGCACCAGAGCCTCACCCCACTGCCAGCCCCAGCCCCAGCCCTGGCAAAGCCACATTTCCCAAGCCCATTCCTGCTTCCCTCTGATTGGCATCACACCATTCCTCTTCCAACTGGAGGGCAGAGGCTCAAGCAGTAAAACAGACACCCCTGCCCGCCAGCCCCCGGTGTTTGGTTGACAGCTCAGTTGTTTTCTGTCACTGAGGATGCAATTTATTTTTTAATAGCACGTCTAATAAGTGATGCCCACTTGACTGACAGGCTGCTATTTATCCATGCAGCTCCAGAACATGTGCTGTGTTTTATAAATAGGCACTGAATGATTTCTGAGATGTTCAACAAAATCTATTCTTTTCCGAATTGAGGCTCCAAACAAAAATGTCTTAATGGATCCCTAATTAATTGCGTGCAGAGAGGCTTTCCTGTGAGCTCAGAGGAGGAATGAGAAGGTTGCTGTATAAATATTAAATGTTGTTATATAATTACTCTGTAAACATGGTGGGGAATCTTGCTCTCTGCATGCAGCATCTCTTGGTCAGCAATTTGGGCACCCCAGGGCAGGTTTTGGTGGGGTGTACAGCTGGGCTGTGGCTCTCTGTCTCTTGACCCACCCTTGAGGAAAATATCCTGCTTGAGGGGGACAAAAATCAGGCAATTTTTAGGTTTGACACTGTTTTAAAAGACATTTTGGCTGAGTTTGGCTGTTGATAGCCAAACCAAGGGGTCACAAATCTGGTCTTGAGCCCATATCTGCACCCAAGGAGGGCAGCCTGAGTGCTGCTCAAAAAGCTGTGAAACGAATTTTTTTTAAAAACCTGTTTGCTCCCATTTCTCCTGTGCAGGAGCTGCTGCGACAGGGCTGTGTTTTCCAGGAGAGGCACGGCTGGGAGAGACCTGGCTGGTTCAACCCTGGGGGAGCAGCCCCGGTAGGAACTCCTGGGGTTTTGGGGGGTCTTCAGCCTGGAGACACCAGCTGTGGGAGGACCCATCACCATGGGCAGGGATGGGTGGGGATCCATCACTGAGAGCAGGGATTTTGGGGTGGGGACCCCTCACCATGACAGGGATGCTGAGGGGAGGACCCATCACTATGGGCAGGGATGCTGGAATGGGGATCCATCATTGTGGTCAGGGATTTTGGGATGGGGATCTATCATCATGAGTAGGGATGTTGGGATGGAGATCCATCACTGAGGGCAGGGATGTTGGGATGGGGATCCATCACCGAGGGCAGGGATGTTGGGAGGGGGATCCATCACTGAGGGCAGGGATGTTGGGATGGGGATCCATCACCAAGGGCAGGGATGTTGGGATGGGGATCCATCACTGAGGGCAGGGATGTTGGGATGGGGATCCATCACTGAAGGAAAGGATACTGTGGACTCCTCCTCATGGGCAGGGATGCTCTGGTTGGATCCATCCCCATGGACAGGGACCCATCCCCATTGGGGTGAGAACCCATCCCCATGGAGATCAGGGATGCCAGAGTGGAAACCCACCACACAGCCATCTCTCCAGGAGCAGGGTGAATAAGACAAGGAGTCCTTTGGCTTCGGCCTCACCTCCTCTTCCTCCCTGTCCCCAGGTCCTGGACTATGATTACTACGGTGCCTACGGCCACCAGCGCCACAGGGACTATGCCTACAACCACCTGCTGGGGGACGAGTACACCTTCGACTTCCCCCCTCACCACGACATCGTGAGTCCTGCCCTGCCAGAACTCCCAGAGCCAGCTGGGGGACTTGGAGGCAGCAGAATTTGTGCCCCATCGCTGCTTTTGGGGGAGTTGGTGATGCTGGGAGGGAGGGGAAGCTCTGAAACAGTGAAAAATGTCCCAAAAATATGAAGAGAAATGTGTAGCCCGTGCTTGAAACCTCAGGGGAGAGGCCATGGGAATTATGTTGCTGCCTTCCTGAAGTGTTGGGAGCAGCTTGGGGGGAAAAAAATCCAATTTGATAAAATTTGGGTGTTATTAATGGTAACTGTCACTGAGTTAGTGAGGTGAGGAATGGGATCAGGCACTCAGGACAGCCTGTCAGGCTGGCTTCAGCAAATACCTGATTCTTTCAGGAGCATTTTGAAGCCTTTAAAGGCACCAGGAGAGTGTCCTGGTATCATTTCCCGTTATGTAAATGGTTTAATTTGTGTTTTTCTTTGTGGGCTGAGAGCACGGCTCAGCCTCAGCGCTGTGTTTGCTCTGATTGCAGATCAAGAAGGAATGTTTAACGTGCAGGAACGCCCTGGCTCTCTTTGACATGTCTTATTTTGGGAAATTCTACCTGGTTGGACCTGACGCTACGAAAGCAGCCGACTGGCTGTTCAGTGCTGATGTGAGCAAAGCTCCAGGTACAGCCTCAGCTCCTCCTTTTGCCGGGGAAAACTCACCCCAAAACAACCCAGGGGAACCCAGACTGGCTTTTCCTCTCAGTGCTGCCTTTGCAGAGGGTTTGGGAAGAGGCTGCTCCGTCTGTCCTCAACTCTGGGTTCTGCCTCCACACAGTGCTCTGAGCTGGGGGATGAAGGAGGGAGGTTCCAGCTGTGGCTCACATCTGGAGGTGCGATGAGTGCTGAGTAAATCAAGCACAACCCTCAAACGAGCCAGCTGTGGCTTGTTGTCCCTTTTTTCCGCGGCTGGGAAGCAGCTTTGGGCATTTCCGAGGATGCAACATCAGCTCCTCACACAGCAAAGGGAAAAAAACCATCATTCTTTCCCCGTGCCGGTGCTGGGTCACCCAGGGGCGGTCAGGGCAAAGCCAGGACGGGTGATTTAATGACGGGCACACCTTTTCGTGCTGCCCAGCAGCTCCGTGCCGGGCTGGCTGATGGGCAGCGTGCCCCTGTGCCCCGCAGGCTCCACCGTGTACACCTGCATGCTGAACCGGCAGGGCGGCGTGGAGAGCGACCTGACCGTCAGCAGGATCAGCCCCGGCACCCCGGGCTCCCCCCTGGCCCCCGCTTTCGAAGGTAAAATCCCTGAGCCCGGTGATGCTGCAGGGGGGGAGCTCTGCCTGGGTTCCCTCCCTGAATTCCCAGGTTTTCCCGCTGCCTTTTCAGCCGTGTCAATGCACACAGAGAGTTTTCCAGTCCTGGGCAGGTTTGTGCCAGCATCTCCTCCCTCCCTGCCCCGCTGGAGGGGCTGCAGGCACAGGGCTGATTGCATTTTCCTAATGGCAGCCACCTGGCTTTTTCCACCTCTGTCCTCCGGTGCCTGTAACCCGATTATGTCCCCTGTCCCCAGGGCCCTGCGCTGCTCATCGCTGTTATTGGGTTTGTCCAGCCCTGCCTGGCAGCTCTGACCTCTGTCCCAGCCCTTATCAGCTGCAATTAAGGGGAACTGAAAGGCAGCAGAGCAGCCCTGGGGACAGGAATGGCATTAGGCAGCTGCGGAGGAGGAGGCTGAGATGGAACAGGGTGAGAGCTGGTGGCCACAGAGCCCTGTCCCCATGCTGTGTCACCCTCAGGTGTGCCATGGCAATCTCAGCACCCTGTGTCACCTTCAGGTGTGCCATGGAAATCTCACCATGTATGTCACCTTCAGGTGTGCCATGGGACAATCTCATCATGCTGTGTCACCTTCAGGTGTGCCATGGGACAATCTCCCCATGCTGTGTCACCTTCAGGTGTGCCACAGGGCAATCCCACCATGTGTGTCACCCTCAGGTGTGCCATGGCAATCTCACCACGCTCTGTCACCTTCAGGTGTGGCAATCTCACTACTCTCTGTCACTTTCAGGCGTGCCATGGCAATCTCACCATGTGTGTCACCTTCAGGTGTTCCACAAGGCAATCTCACCCTGTTCGTCCCAGCAGCGTGGGGTGCCTGTGATTTTTCCCTCCCTCGTGGGAGAATCCTCCTTCCCTCCTGTCTGGGACACTGGCAGGGGAAGCAGGGTGGGAAGTGGCTGGCAGAGCTGCAGGCTCCGTCGGGCACTGGAGGTGTTTAATCACAGCAAAGTCTATTTTTCCAATTACAGTAGGTGGCTGCACTTATTATCATTATGACAGAATACCAGAGAGCAATTTTGTAGTGGCAGGAAAGACAGAGGGAAGATTGATTACATATTAATCAGCTCTCAAACACTGTCCCTGGGGATTTTTCCACCCAGGATTACCGAGGAGATGAAATTCTTCCTTGCACACAGTAGGAATTGTGCTGTAGTGGTTATGGGCTGGTCACTGCAGCATTCCCTGCTCCCACCTGTCCTCACAGCTCCCTCCACGCTTGAGGGGCTGTTCTGCACTGGGACAAAAGTGCTGTTGTTCTCAAGGAGTTTTTTCCTGTGATGCTCACACACACTTTCACTGTTAATGGTTTTCAGTGTGCTGAGCCCCACAAAAAGCAGAACCCCAAAGCCTTCCCTAATCCCACAACTCTTTAACCCCCTTTTACTGGCAGTCCCCAGCCGGGGCTGTGCAAGCTGGGGATGCTCAGGGCTGCACCTCAGGCTGTGCAGAGCAGATCCAGCCCAGCCCAGCCCTGAAAGGCTGCCCGGGGCTGTGTTCCAGGGGATGGCTACTATCTGGCCATCGGCGGGGCTGTGGCTCAGCAGAACTGGTCCCACATCACCACCGTGCTGCAGGACATGAAATTCCAGTGCAAACTGCTCGACTGCTCGGAGGAGCTGGGCATGATGAGCATCCAGGGGCCTCTGAGGTGAGAGGCGTGAGCCCCTCCCTGCAGCCTGAGCAGGGAGGGGTGGAGAGAGGGATGGGAGGAGGGATGGAAGTGTGCAGGCATGGAGGGAGGGATGCAGAGGTGGAGGGAAGGAAGGAGGGATGGAAGGAGGGAGGGAGGGATGCAGGGATGGGAGGAGGGATGGAAGTGTGGAGGCATGGAGGGAGGGATGCAGAGGTGAAGGGAAGGAAGGAGGGATGGAAGGAGGGAGGGAGGGATGCAGGGATGGAAGGAGGGATGCAGGGGTGGAGGGAGGGATGCAGAGATGGAGGGAGGGATGCAGGGATGGAAGGAGGGATGCAGGGGTGGAGGGAGGGATGGAGGGAGGGATGGGATGGAGGGATGCAGGGATGGAGGGAGGTTTTCCTCAGGTGCAGGTCCCCGTGCTGGGCAGGGAAGGGTGTGAGCCCCATGCCAGCGAGTGCTGATGTGGCTGGGATATCACTCCATTTTCCACAGAACTGGAATTTCTTTTGAGGCTCCCACAGCACTGCACGTCAGCCGCCTCAGCTCCTCTTTGGAGTGAGAAATCTGTCTTGCCAGCAAGATGAGGGAGCAAGATTTGGGCACAAAACCACCCAGGGCAGGCTGGCAGCTGAGTGCCCTCACTGCTCCCCCTTTGCTGTTTCCCCACAGCCGTGCTGTCCTGCAGGAAGTGCTCGACACCGACCTCAGCAACGAGGCCTTCCCCTTCTCCACCCACAAAATCACCACGGCTGCAGGATGCCAGGTAGGAAAGAGCCACTCCTTGAGCTGCCCAGGGAGCTCTGGGCCCTGTGCACCCACCAGCCAAGCACAGAATCCCAGACTGGTTTGGCTTGGAAGGGACCTGAAAGACTGTTGTATTGCACTAAGTGGTTTCTTTAGTTGTTTTTTTTTGCACTGGGTTTTGTATTTTGCATGGAATAGGATACAAAAGATCATCTTCCACCCCCTGAAATGGACAGGGACACCTTCCACAGTCCCAGGGTGCTCCAAGCCCCGTCCAGCCTGGCCTGGAACACTTCCAGTGATCCAGGGGCAGCCACAGCTGCTCTGGGCACACTGTTCCATCTCCTCTGTTAGGAATGTCTCTCTCTGCCTCCTCTTTATTGCAGAGAGGTTTTGGTGTGGTTTTTGTAGGAAAAGGCCAAAACCCAGAGTGAGAAAAGGGTGTTTCCCTGCCTGACTGCCTGGCAGGTGCCACCCTGCTCTCCCAGCCCTCCCAGTGGTGTCACAGCGCTGAGCCTGGGGAAGGGACAGGGTGACTCATGGCTTTGCAGTGATGCCACAGGAACGAGAGATGCCTCCATGGATTAGGGTGAGCCCTGGTGATGAGATCTACCTGACACTCCAGACACTTTCCATTTCCCCCTCCTCATAAAAAAATGGAGACAATTTAATGCAAAGCCTGTCAGGTGCTGGCAGTAGGGACTGGGCAGCCTGGGAGCTGCTGTTTGATCACAGGAGAAGCCTGACAGCCCCAGGCTTCCTGTACAGCACAGATCATCCTGCTTTTGCCCAGGCTTCAGGGCTCACATATGCGCTGAAGCTGTTGATTGAGCTTGAACACCCCAAACAGAGGAGTTGATGACCATGAAGTGTCATTTTTCTCAAAGGAGGATGTCCTGGGAAAACCTGCTGCTGGCAACTTTGGGTATCAGGGAAAAGCTTTAGCAAGGTTTCCTGGAGAAACTCTGGTTTCTCAGTGATGTTTATCCTGTGTGGAATATTCCTATGGTTGTGGAATATTCCAGGTAGAATTTGTACCTGCTCCTTTCCACGGGAAGCCTGGGCAGGCCATGATCCCAGAGCATCCCTCTCCTGCTGGATGAGCTGGCTGGGAGGAGGAACCGTGCCCAGAACTCGCTCTGGTTCTCAGGCTGGAGCCTGGTGGGGGATGAAGGAGGTGAAGGTGAAGCAGTAAATCTCATAAAAGGCAGCAGGAGAGCCAGGAGCTGCAGCAGGCTGGATGTTAAGGAAATTGGGTTAAGCCACGTGCGGCCACTTTTCATTCAGAATTAAAATGGCTTTAATTCGACTGCAGCTGCCTGCTGAAGAGATTGCTGCTAAATCAAATTAGAGCCTCTTGATTTGTGAGCTACAGCTTGGCCTGGCCTTAAGGTGGTTTAAATAAGGGTCAGATTTTGCCCAAGTCAGATTAATCTCCAAACCATTGCCATCAGTGCAGGCTGGGCTTTGGGTGCCCAGCAGCTCAACCCACAGCGAGTTCAGTGTCCCTTGGAAGGCCTGGGGGACTTCAGAGCCAATCCAGTGGTGCAGGTTGTCCAAAGTGCTGGATTTTAGTCTCCATCAATCCTCCCCACACCCTCCCTTGTCAGCCTGAAGCAGGCTGATATCATCTTGTAATAATCTGCTTCTGCCCTAAGAAAGGTGTAGAAATGTTCCTGTCTCCACGGGTGTGATGAGTTTATTTGCATTTCACTTCAAGTTTGTTATAAATAATCCAGTCCTTCGAGGAAGACAGAGCTGGCAGAAGTTTTGTGGATTCTTTGGAGTGTAAATTCCCTGATGGACAGAGAAAAGCTCTCCTGCCTCAGGGGTGTGAGCTGCCAGGGCCACCCTTCAGGAGGTCTCCTTTGTCCCACTGGACAATGAGCAGCAGGGACCCCATCCCACGCTGGAATTAGAGTGGGAGGATTGCTCAGGGCAGCAGGCAGAAGCCTTTGCTGATATTATCACCTTCCAGGTGGATTAAACTGAACCCAGCATCTTAAAAAAGTTATCACCAAGATTTTCCTGCATTAACTCAGTAGTTGAACAAAATCAGCTGGAGTCAAAGGAGAGTTCCAGCAGAGTTAATGACTCTGGAAATTATGGATTGGTTTGTGAGTTTATATATAGAGTCTCTCATTGTATGGAACAGCAGAGAAAGGTCCCCCTTTGAATCTCACTGCTGGAGACAGGCAAAAATTCAGGTTTTCATTTTCTATGGTACCTAGAATGCTTTTGAATTGCTGCACAAAACCCAGGAATGGATGCTATTCCACAGCTCCAGCTGGAAGAGCTGTTCCTATGGGAATCCAGCAGAGCTGCTGGGTCCAGCCCCTAGCATCCCCCTCCGTGGTGGGATGTGAATCCTGCCTGGGGTCCCAGTCCCTCCCTGTGCTGAGCTGATCACCGGCACCCCAATTTTCCAGGGTTACCTGTTTCCTGCGGGGCACTGCTCCTGCTGGGATGCTCATTCCCCTGGAGCACTGGTGCTTTGAGAGGATGTTTCTCCCAGGAGTAAGTTGCTCTTGATTGTAAAGAGCACTTTAGCAGCAGTCCCAGACGGGGTTAACGAGCCGGGAAGTTGCCTGTCAATCCCCGGAGCATCTCCTGCCGCAGTGAAGATGGAAGCTGGCTTGCAGCAGCCTCTTCTCACGCTGTTCCCTAATTAGATGACACCTTTGTGTAGAGGAAAAGGCTCCTCTGAGCCCGTTGTGCTTGTGCTCCTGGGGAAGGGAGTGCCAGCCTCTGTGCCTGGCTGCGGGGCTGTGCCAGGGGCCAGGGCAGGGCTGGCTCCCGGCACCTCAAAATAAATCCCCCATCCTGTGCTCCTTCCTCCTCCCCACTCCTATTGCAGAGGTGAAGGCTTCTTGCAATTTAAAAATTGTAAATTCAGCTTGAGGATGTGATTTTGGTGATAGGGGAAGCAGGAATGGATTTGGGGTGCCAGCCGTGCCCCCTGGCCATGCTGGCAGCACAGAGCCCAGGCAGCCCTTGGGCACTTCTGCCTGCTTTGGGCAGCAGCTGCTGGTGTCTGCATTTATCCCTGGGGTTAGAGAGCTCTGCCTGGGGCAGGAGCTCAGCAAATGGCAAAATGCAGCTTGTGCCCCAGCCCCAGGCAGAGCCAGCAGGGCCAGGCCAGCCCAAGGCCACCAGAGCCAGCCTGCAGGTGTGTTCTGAGCTTTGTTACGAGCACACATCACAGCCCAGAGCAGAACTCTGGAGTTGTTCTCTCTCCCAAAGCCAGCTCTGTGTACCCAAAGGGATGAACCAGAGGGGTTTTGTGGGGGAGGAATGGAGAAACACAATGGGATGAATCAGAGGGAAAGGCAGCTCAGGCTCCAGGGCTGTCTCCAGGGAAGTGCTTGAGCTGGCCTGGAAAGCTTTGGGGATGGAGACTGTTCCAGAGGGACAGCAGGAGGGTGCCTGGGTGAGAAGCTGGTGGAACACAGGCAGGGCAGGCTGTTCCCTGGGACTGCAGCCAGGCTCCATCCCCGGGAATGAGGCTTCTCTGGAGAAACACCAAATCCCCTGTGCTGATCTGCTCATTCCTCCTTGGGGCTTCTGGCACTTGGTGTGGGGCTTATGTGACAGCACAGCTTTGGGACACCACCTCCATGGGAGCCCTGAGCATTCCCTGGTGGGACTGGGAGCCTGTGGGAACGCTGTCCAAGGAGGGAACATCAGCAGTGATGAAGTGCCCCAAAAGCAGGACAGTCCTGCTGGGGACCAGCTTCCCTGTCTCAGTGGGTCAGCAGAGGGAGACAAAAGCTTGGCTGGAGCTGGAGCATCACATCTCACCCCAGCCCTGGAGTCTGTAGCCAGAGCATGCTGCAGCAGCCGCCTCTGCCCGCTGGCACTGATGGTAGCTGGGTTTGAAGGATTAGGATGTCCAGAGATGAGAAATTCACTCTGAGCCTGTCTTGGTGCGAGAAAGGAGAGCCCAGAGCTGCCTTCCACCACAAGGTTATGTGACATTCTTTTCCCCTGATGCTGCAGCAGCCACCTCTGCCCGCTGGCACTGGTGGTAGCTGGGTTTGAGGTGCCAGGCTTAGGATGTCCAGAGATGAGAAATTCACTCTGAGCCTGTCTTGGTGCGAGAAAGGAGAGCCCAGAGCTGCCTTCCACCACAAGGTTATGTGACATTCCTTTTCCCCTTGACGTGGGGAGAAGGAAAGCCCAGAGCTGCCTTCCACCACAAGGTTATGTGACATTCTTTTCCCCTGACATGGGGAGAAGGACAGCCCTGCCCAGCCGAGCTGCAGCACAGGAATGTTTGCCCTCTTGCCTCTGCAGGTGCGTGCCATGAGGCTGTCGTTCGTGGGCGAGATGGGCTGGGAGCTGCACGTGCCCAGGGCTGACTGTGTGAAGGTTTACCGGGCGGTGATGCAGGCGGGAGCCCGGCACGGCATCGCCAACGCCGGCTACAGAGCCATCGACAGCCTCAGCATCGAGAAAGGTCCTTGCTGTGCTCTCAGCAGCACTCTGCTTCTCCTCCAGCGGGGGGATCGGGAGCTTTTCCTCAGCTTTGGGGTGGGCAGTGTGAGTGGAGGGTCTCGGAATGCTGAGGATTCCCCTGTGGCTCCTCTCCAGGGTGTTTTATCCACGTGAACGAAGGGCAGTGTCAGGGGCAGGGGTGCTGTGACAGGGCCAGTGGGTGACCCGTGCTGGCTCCCTGCAGGGTACAGGCACTGGCACGCAGACCTGCGCCCCGATGACACCCCGCTGGAGGCAGGGCTGGCCTTCACCTGCAAGCTCAAGTCCAGCATCCCCTTCCTGGGCCGGGAGGCTGTGGAGGCACAGAAAGCCAAGGGCATCTTCCGCCGCCTGGTGTGCTTCACCACTGAGGAGTGAGTACCAAGGGGAGTGAGTACCACGGAGGAGTGAGTACCACAGGGGAGTGAGTACCAAGGGGAGTGAGTACCACAGGGGAGTGAGTGAGTACCACAGAGCAGTCAGTGTCACTGCTGGCTCTGCTCCCTGCTGCAGCTCCAGCCCAGGAGCAGCACCTCCACCGAGCCCACCTGTTAATTTTCCTGGCTTTTACTGAGAGGTGTTTTAAAAAATTTAATTCTCTTATCAGTTTTGATAAGAAGGGTGAGATATAAGAGATGCAAAACCCAATGCTATTTCATCAAATGCTAACCTATTTCTTGGTTACAATACTTTATAAATGTTTTTCAGCTTTTGCTACACCATGCTATTATTACTTCTAACACCAATCACCTCTATTTTTACCCGATGTGGTCCTGCTACCATGCATCTTTCACACTTTTACTTCTCTAAAATATCTGGACTTTTTGCAAGGCCATATTTTGAAACTTGTTTTTACTTCAATGTCTCTCTCAACAGTGTTATCTTTACAGTTCTTTACAAATCCATTTCTTGCGCACACACGCACACAGGTGCCACACCTGGACAGCTGTTTCCCATGCTCTAATTCCATCTCTGATTTAAATCCCACCGCAAACTCCCTGTTGGGTGTTCAGTGGGAGTGTGAGGGTTGAGCTTGTTTCACCCAGAGGTTTTGCAGGTTGGGCTGGAGGCGCTCTGGGCTCAGCACAGAATGAGCCCCTGGCACCTGGGCTGGCCTGGGGCAGTGCCCTGTGCCCCTGGAGGGGCTCTGCCGTGGCAGCTGTGCCCTTGCCTTGCAGGAAGGTGCCCATGTTCGGCCTGGAGGCCGTCTGGAGGGACGGGAAGGTGGTCGGCCACATCCGCCGGGCAGATTTTGGGTTTGCCATCGACAAAACCATCGCCTACGGCTACATCCGAGACCCCGCAGGGGGCCCGGTGAGTTCAGAGCCCCAGGGTGGCTGTGTCTCCTCCCCTGTGTCACCGGGGGGCCAGATGGGACCCCAGCTCCCTCGTGCAGGCTGCAGGGTGAGGGGCTGGTGACAAAGTTGGTGTCACTGTCGCTGTGTGAGGCCCACGTGCGGCTCAAGGGCTGCCTCGGGTGTTGATTGCAACCAAATATTTAATTGCAGCAGCAAATTCACTTATGTTGTAGGGAGCAATGGCCAATAGGAGCAGGGCAAGGTTTTAATTAACCCTGGGAGGCTCCTGGGTAATCAGCCAGGTGCCCTCATTAAGCAGCGTGCTGTGGGGACAGAGGTTGGGTGACATCTCCAGGGACCTTTTCTGTGCCATGCAAGAGCTGTGTGTGTGCTGTGATTCCTGCTGTTGTTTGCCTTGGCTTTTCATCCTGCATTCCTGCAAGAGTCCCACGGCAAGTGGCTTTGTGGGCCAGTTGCCCCAGGAATGCCCTTTTGATGAATGTTCTCCTTTTCCTTTTCCTTTTCCTTTTCCTTTCCCTCTCCTTTTTTCTCTCTTTTTCCCTCTCCTTTTCCCTCTCTCTTCTCCCTTTTTCCCTTTCCCCTCTCCTTTCTTTTCCCCTTTCCTTTCCCCTTTTTTCTTTCCACCATATACCTCCACAGGGGGGTAAAAAAAACCCCAAAATTTTCAAACACTGATTTTTTTTTTTTTTTTTTTAATCAAACAAAACTTTTAGAGAAGCTAACATCTTTTGGGGAGCATAATATACTACAGAAAAATTTTTTTTTTTTAAACAGGCTGCTTTTAACAGTTCTCTTCCTCCTTTCCACACATCCTCTCGGGATGGCAGAGCCGGGTTTTCTGCAGAGAGCAGATGTGTGGGGCGGGTGGGAGCTCCCCCGGGGGTGGGGCTGGGATGCTGGCACCCTATAGGGGTTTTTCCTGCTCTGCCTCGCAGGTTTCCCTGGATTTTGTCAAGAGTGGCACCTACGAGCTGGAGCGGATGGGAGTGACCTTCCCGGCCCGAGCTCACACCAAATCCCCGTTCGACCCCGACAACAAACGCGTGAAGGGCTTTTACTGAGGGCTGCTGGCTGCGAGAGGGCAGAGGAGCTGCAGGCTGAGCTCCCAGCCCCTCCTGCCCCTCCTGGCTCCAGGCTCAGCTGTGAGAGCTGGGCAACCCCCTGGAACCCGCCGAGTCAGTGTGGGTCAAATCAGAGGGGACAGGAGGAGAAGATTCCAAAAAGCGCCAAGGCTCTGCTGCTCTGGCTGCCAAGTGAAGTGTGGCCACTGCAGCAATAATTCTGTTCCGTGGGTTAATTGGACTGCAAACAGTGTTTGGTCTCACTGCGTGTGAAGTGGTTTCAATTTCTGACTTTGCTGGAAACTCTTTCCCCCCAAATGTAGTCTCACTCTGCCTGGGAATGAATGTTTTTTAAACTAGCTCTGCTGTTCATACAGCTAGAGCCTCCAAAGCTGCTGTCCCTCTGGTCCCTTGCTGTGTCTGTTCCCACTCCCTTGGGTGTCACCTCATGCTGGGGACTCTGCTGGGGTGGGCAGGGCAGGAGTGCAGGGTCACTGCCCAGGCTCACGCTGTGGGTTCCTCTCTGCCAGGGCTGTTTGTGTGTCATAATCAGGGAACCATGGAACAGCCTGGCTTGGAAGGGACCTTAAAGCCCATCTCCTGGGTTCCATGGGCAGGGACACCTTCCACTGTCCCAGCTGCTCCAATCCCCATCCAGCCTGGCCTTGGATACTGCCAGGGATGGGGCTGATTTTTCTGGGCTGCTCCAGGCACAGGCTGTGGTGTGAGGTAGCCACTGGGGACACTGGCTGGCAGCTCGCTGGTCCCTTGTGGCGTCTTCCCAAAGGTCACCTTGGAGGTGGCTCCTTTCAGCTGCCAGCAGAGAGGGGGATGTGGCAGAGGCTGAGCTGTGAGCTCAAACCCCTCTGGCAGCTCAGAGCCAGCCCTGGGGGCAGCAGGGAGGGCTGCAGGGGGGTTTGCCTCACACGCACGCAGCCTGTGCTGATGAAGGATCAGCAGCTCCCCGTCACCATCCCGTGCTCTGGGCCCCTCACTGGGCTCTCTGCTGGGGCTTTCACCCACCTGAAGAAATAATCTCACTCCCTGCTCTTCCCTTTTCCCCCCTCGACTGGGTTTGCTTGGGTCACAGCCTCTTTAGAGCTGATTTCAATTCCTTGCCCTCGTGCCACGGGCGCCACGGGCAAGAGCGTGAACTCTGAATTGCTTTGGTTTTACTGAAAACATTAAAAACCAAGACTGAGATGAATTTTTCTCTTGAATAGGAGGTGACTGCCCTGCCTCTGGCAGGCTGAGGGCAGGGGAGGGGGTGGCTGTGCTCCTGTTCTGAGGGAAGGAGCATTCTGCCTCCCTGCTAAGCCAGGCATCACTCCGTGCCTGGAAGATCAGGTTTTGCTTAAAAAAAGCTTTTTCTGGTGTGCAGTGCTCTCACCTGAGGTGTTTCATACACCCAAGGTGGCTGGGAAGGAATTTTGGGGGCCACCAGGCCATCCTGGTGGCCTGGATCCCACCTGTCCCAGGGCAGCAAGGACAGGCACCAAGCTGGGATGGACATGGACTCCCCTCCACCTCCACACCTCCAGCCTCTCCTCTGCTCCTCCTGAATGTTCTCCATTCAGAGCTCAACAGCAAAAAAAGCAATTTATTTTACATTTAGATATTTAATGGAGCAATTTTTCCTGACAAAAGATTTGTCATTCCCCCTCCTCCCCTCCCCTTTTCCAAACCCCATCCCAGAGGTGCCGTTTGTTCCCAGCCATTGGCTTCTGGTGGCATCGAGAGGAACAATCAGAGCATGGAGGGGAGGGAGGGAAGGGAGGGGAGGGCTGGGTGGGTGTTGTGGCACCCCTCCCTCCATCCATCCATCCCTGCATCCCTGCCACAGCTGCCAGCATGGGAGATCACCTGTGGAGCCATCCTGAGCTAGGCAGGACCGTGGGACACCAGCAAGGCTTTTGTGCTGCTCCCACACATCCCTTTGCTCCGTGCCTCAGTTTCCCCGCAGGCAAACCAGCTCCTTCCCCCCTCCCTGAGGCTCCACAATAGCAAACCTCGCCGTTATTATTCCGGGGGTGGGAAGCAGCATTACTCAGAGCCAGCATTGCTAATAACACACTAAATATAGCTCTTCCCATCCCCGGAGGACTTGCTGAACTCTGCCTGATGAGCTCGAACCCCCTCCGGAGGCAGGGCCGGGGCATTGCTGTGTGGGCAGGGATGTTCCCCACGGATGGATGCTCCTGCCTGGAGGGGCTGGCCGTCCTGGTGGCAGGCGGTGTGTCAGTCCCTCCGGAGCTGGCCCAGCTGGAGGGGGACGGGGGCAGCGGGCTGAGGTCCCGGGGAGGGCGGGCAGCGAGGGCTGGGCTCCCGCAGCCTCTCGGTGATGATGGGGAGTGGCTGCTTCTCCCACTCGCCCTGCAAGAGAGGTCAGCACCCTGAGAGCAAGGGAGGAAGGTGTTGGAGGCTCGGTGTTTCTGTCTGCTTGGAGAAATGACACGAGTTTTAACGTCTGGAGTGGGTTTTAGCCCAGATCAGGGTGTTTTCTCATGAGACATCACTAATTATTCCTAGTGCAGAAGCACCTACACATCCCCTGAGCGGCGCAGACGTCTGAGGTGTTCCACAAATCCACCCCAGCTGGGGAGTTTCCACCCCAAAAAGTGTTACCTGCCAAGTCAGGTGGAGAGAGCTCAAAGCAGGGGGTGCCACAGGCCCACCATGCTCTGGAAAAGCAGGCTCTGGCAGGAATCTCCAGCAGGGATGTGCCCGTGGAGCAGGAGGGATGCAGCAGCCTGGCTGAGGTGCCATGGAAGGGCTGTCACAGCCATCAGGGCTCACGGTGACCACAGCCAGGACAAATCCCCCCACTCTGTGCATCCGTGGTGACACCTTGTCCCGGGGATGCTCCCTGCAAAGAGCGACCTGCCAGGTGCAGGCAGTGCCCAGGGCTGAGCCTGCTGAGCAGGATCTAGCTCAGGTGTGATGTTGGCCTGGCCTGGTGGCTGGTGGAGAGGTGGGCAGGGGCTGGGGGGGCACGGGGGGCTCAGCTCCGGGGTGGTGATGCTCTGGCTGGGCTGCCAGCTGCGTGTTCGTGTGGAAATGTCAGCGAGAGGCTGAGCCACAGCGTGAGCAGGAGGAGGGAGGTCTGGAGAGGAGAGGTAGAGCCATGAGTCATCAGCGAGATGAAAGTGGAATTTGTGTTTTCTGCTGAAATTTCTCCTGGTATGTCAAGCGAAATGGGCCAGAGCTGGCACCAGCACCAGGAAAACCCTGGGGAAAGATGGAGTGGAATGGAGGGACCTTTCCAAAGCTCGTGGGGAGTGATCAGAGAGGGGACAGCATTGCAGGGCAGCACCAGCTGGAGGAACAACTCCTCTCCTGTGCCCTTATGGCTCAGAGGAGCAGTTCAGCATCCTCAGGGTGCTCCTGCTCCAGGGCTCAGCTCCAGCCCTGAGCCCATCTGCTGCGGCGTCTGCCCTGCTGAGACATCCCAAACCCTGAGCCTGCTTTTTGGAGAGATCAAAGGCGTGTGGAGTGTCTTGATAGTTGTTGTTTTCAGTGCTTTCGAGTTGAAACCTGAGCAGAGTGTACTGTGAGCCCTTGTGGGTGCAGGGGAACTTGGGGACGGCACCGTCCCCGCTGCCGCTCACAAGTGTTACCTTGAGATTTGGCTCAGTAATTAACAGCACTGAGTTCCTTCCAGAAATCATCAGATTTGGGATCACTGAACTGCAAAAACATGAGCTTAATTAGAAGCTGGTGCTTTTCTCTTGGCAGAAACAGCATGGAACAAATGAGATGTCTCCAAGTGGGGCTCGCTCTGAAACACCAGTGGAGCGGAGGCTCCTCCGCCCTCACTGCGATGCTCATGACCCACTTTGTGCCAGCATTGCCTCTGGACTGCTCGAGCCCCTTCCTGACAGCCCCCAAGACCTCTCTGAAATCAAGGGACTTGTCTGGGTCATAAATTAAGAGGTTTAATTCATAATTATGCTGCTTCACAAAACTTCCGCACCACTTCTGCCCCTGCAGCAAAGCTCTGCATGGCTGAGAGGTGCCTGGTGACCAGTTCCAGGGAAATGGAAAGGTTTATGCCCACCCCAGAGGGAAACTTTGCTAAAGGGAACTTACAGTGGCAGCAAGCTGATGGTCATGCCTGCAATCAGCTCAGCAGCTCCTGTGCTGCAGTAGATAGCACTGGATCCAGGCTAAAGGTATAATCTGAATTTATTACACTGATAAATGGCATTGGAGGCTGATGCCAGCAGTGGTTTTAAATCTTTACCACCATCATCATCATGTTCCTCATCTCTGGGCCTGGTTTTATTTTCAAGAACTCCCAGTCCTTTATCCTTCACGTTTTGCTGGATCACCACATTTGGGAGCTGCACAGATGCTGTGTGTAATGAGCTCGCTCTGCTGGGACCTGGGGTGATTTGCCAAAGTCCTAAAAACCACCTCACGTTTCTCCTTGGATATGGCCCTACTTTTAACAGTCAGCAAAAACAGTCTCTAAATCACTTTATGCAAATGCATCTCCTAATTGGATCTGGTTGGGAGCATCCATGGTGGGCTCCTGATGTATTGTCTAAGCCCGGGACTGGGCTCTGTGTCCTGCTGATGCCAGGGATTCCCAGGCAGCTCCAGCCCCCTGTCCCGAGCCTGCTGGGTTTGGACGTGTCCTGAGCAGCACAGACCCAACCTTACATCTGGGAATTGTGCAGGGAAGCTTTGGGAAAGGCTGTACCTACCGGGAAGCGGACAGCAGAGGATTTGTTGCAGTGCATGGAGATGGGAGCAAAGCCGTAGAGGGATTTCAGCACATCCCTGTTGAACGGGTTCCAGGGGATGGAGTAAAACTGCTGTGGGACAGACACCTGTGGGCACATGCAGATCTCCTCGTCGTTAAACCTGGGCAGGAGAAAGGCCAGGCTGAAGCACAGCAGTGCTGTGCCCTTCCAGAGCTGGGCGTGACCCATTCCTCCCTGCCTAAACCCGGAATGGCTCTGAGGGCAGCGCTGGGCACAGGGACAGCCTGCAGCAGCCAGCACCTCCAGAGCAGGATTTGGGACCATCCCGTGGGTAAGATGCCCTGTGCAAGGTCAGCATCTCCCCTCTCCTCACGGGTGGATGGGCTGCAGCCTCCTCCCCTGGCGTGGATCCTTGCAGTCTGCCTCGGGTTATAAGGAATTTTATGCACTCAGCCACACGCTGACTCTTGCTAAGAAGTCTCTCCCTCCATTCCTGGCAGTTCTCACTACACAGCCATCCCCCAAACCCTGGGTTTGGCTGTTGTAAACAGTGGTCCCCATGCCCCCAGCCCCCTGTGCAGGGCTCTTTACCTGTTGACAAGGTTGAAGTAGCGGTGCAGGTAGCCCGGATCCACGGCGCTTTTGCACAGCTCCAGCTGGGTCTGGGGGTAGTAGTGCACGT